TAAGCTGTGCCTCATCTCTAGTCCCACCTGAATCCTTTCTAACCCACAAGGCCCTACTCACATCTCACCTTTTCTTGTTACTCCAGCCCCCAGGTCTCCCTGCTTCACTAAATTCCTCTTACACTCACAGCATGCACTGCACAGAACAAACTTCATAGTGTCAACCCTGGATAGACTGCAAAATATGATGGGCATTACATACTGCTTGGCTTAACTTTCTAGGGTGTAGAAAGTGGATAATATGGAAATGAAGTGGAGAGACCCAGAGGTCAGGGAATTGAAAGATGGGGGTCAGGATGAGAATTGCTGGTAAACAGTCTCACCTGTGTGGGTTCCCCTCGGTCCATTTTGTCCCCCGTTCCCAGCTGCCCATATCTGTTATTTCCCTGCATAAAAATTCGGCCAAATTCATCCACCAAGCCAAGGTGATTGTAACCAAGAGCACAGAATAGGATCTAGGAAGAAGACAGAAAGGGGAGGTGGGCATTCAGTTCCCTCCAGAGGAACTCTGAACTCCAACGCCTCCCAGCCACTAACCTGGCTGATCTCTTTGGGTCTTGCCCTCTATGTCACCCATCTTTGGGTCCCCTGACCCTCCCTGATCAATCGTTTGATTCCTGCTCATATTTCAGACCTTCAGAACCTTTCAACCCCTAAAGTCCCTCCTGTAATGATCTTCCCCATCCCTCCAGGATCCTACCTTGGCAGGCAGTGAGAGAGCAAGTGGCATCTGCTGGTCCAGGGGGTCAAAGGCTTGAAGGGTCCCAAAGAGATCACGATACACCCCTGGGGTATGCACCTCAAAATACACTCCCCCCTCATCTGGGGGGTCGGGTGCCCTCAGCTCAGCAGCTTTGGGCACCCATTTCCTAGGGATAAGGCCCCACCTGGGATGAAAACGACAAGATCCGGGGAGTCTCACACCCACAAGCATTCACCAGCTGTGATGTCTGGGAATCTAAGCATCATCTTTTTACTCGGATGCCCTAGGGGTCCACCACAGAGCTGGAATAATGATGGCGGGTGTCTGGGAGATCTGTCCAAGGCTGGGGCCTTGACAAAAGGGAGGTGGTTCTTACCTGTAATGTACAGAGTACTGCTCTGGTTGGAAGCCATGCAGGCCACACGCAGGTGAGGCAGGCAACGGGACACCTTCCTCAGGGCCAGCTGAACCGTGTAGGAGCGTGGCTGGTCCAGCTGGGTTTCATTCACCACCAAAGAGTAGATCTTTCCTTCCTCTGGAGATTGGGGGAAGCAGACAATTACGAGGGAGAAGGAACCCTCCAATATCCACATTAACTTCCCAATAGACCCCCTAAGCCATATAGGATGAAACATTACTACCCTAGAGTGGGGTTTAAGAAAAGGGTAGAGACTGAACAAAAGTCATATACCTATGGATGAGGACAGCAGGGGGCTTGAGGAGGAAGGTAAGGGCAGAGGGTGGAGTGTGGACCAGGTGGAGGGGAACTATGGGAGGGGGGGGAAGGAGAAACAATTGTAATAATATGAACAATAAAAATTTATTTAAAGGGTAGAAATGAAATAACCAGGGAAGTCCTTTTCAGTGTGAGAAATGGATGGAGAGGAAACCTAGTAGATGTGGAAGAACACAGTCTGAATGCTGGGAAAGATGTTTGGGGATTTAGGGCCTTGCATAGCATTAAGAAATCTGGAGTGTGGTTAAGTACAGGGAGGCAGTGTAGGGTACAAAGGTGAGGTGCCTGGTATGGAGGTTGGGGAGATTGGAATTTAAAGCAGGGCCCTTTGCATATATGAAATATGCAGACTCTTAGAGCAGACAAAAGCAGAGCTAACTGGTTTGAGATGGCATTCAGAACCCAGTGTGAGAGACCTCCCTCCCCATCCCCTGCAGCAGGTCTTGAAGAATCTCAGAAAACAGTTTGTAAACTACTGCTCAAAGCCACACCTGTGAGGAGCAGTAGAGCCCGCTGAGTCTCCTGACCAACCAGCACAATCTGTTTGAAGCTCATGGAGTGGTGGAAGGTCATTTTGAAGACCCGCTGCCCACTAGACTGCAGATAGACCTCGACACAGTCGCAGACCCGGCTGCCGGTTGTGCCTACCACTTCCAGCTGCTCCCGAGTGGCCAACACATAGAGGTATTTACGGTAAACTGTGTCACATCTTGGGTCTGAGGCAAACTGTAGGAAAAGGCAGAGGTGTCTGGGATCTGGAGCTTGGTGTGGACTGAGGCTGAGGTAGGAGATGAGATACTTGGGTACAGAGTTAGGAAATGGGGCCTTGTGTTCCTTAGGAAGGCAGCTGTCCTAAGGAGGACACCTCAATTCTGATGTAGGCCCTGGGTCCCTGGAGGTTGGGTGGGTTCTTAGCTGCCAAAGTTCTGCTACTCACATCTTTGGCTCCTCGACACAAAACAACATAGCGGCAGGCTCGCTTCCACTGGATCTGGCCAAGGGTGGAGGAGACCAGGGCATTTTTGAGGAAGAAGAGGGTCCCCGCATAGTCAAGGATAAAGATGTGGTCCTTGGTGGGCAAGAAGCGGCGGTAGCCATGGGCTAGAAGAGGGGCTACACTCTTGTTGAGACAGCGGCGGCGGCCCCCAAATGCCTGGAAATACAGGCCTTTCGTGTCTGGAGAAGGGAAGGACATGGGAGGTTCAGTGGGTTGGGATGACACCAGGGAGATGAATCAGAGCTTGGGCAAACAAGGTTTCTCAGGTATCCTGCTATTTAGTTCCTCTCCATCCCCAGGACTGGGAAAAGTACCCCTTCCAAAGACATAGGGAGAGCTTAGAGGATATCCTTAATTATACCCAGTGACTAAATGTTAGTTTTCTGGCCCACCTCAGCCCAGGGCCATAAACATGCTTCTAAATGAGCACTTCTTTGATCCAAACTTGCATAGATTTACTCTGACAGCATAGGATATTTCCCAGAATCTAAGACTTAGTCTTGGTGTGGGGAGGGCGGGAAGGACATTTATGAGAAACAGGAGACATCAAGGGACATATAATAAATACACAGAAAAGAATCAGAGGAGGAAGAAAGAGGAGTAAAAAAGAATGACTCAGAAAGACCAGTAACTCTCCCTCACCCCTGGCTCTGGACCTGTTATCCTCATCTCCCTTAATCTCTACTGTGTGAGATGAAGTGAATAGAGACTTCCTGGAAAGGAAGGGGGGTATAGAGCCTGTTTCCCAGTCTGGGGGAGAATTTATCCTTCAGGGGACATTGGTTGTCACAACTGAGGAAGGTGCTACTGGCATCTAGTGGGTAGAGCCCAAGGGTACTGCTAAACATTCTTTAATGCACGGGAGAGTCCCCCACTTCAAAGAATTGTTTGGGCTCTGGCCAGTGTGGCTCAAGTTGGTTGAGTGTCATCCCCATGCACCCAGGATTTCAAGTCAGAGCACATGCCCAGATTGTAGACTCAATCCACAGTGGGGGTGTGCAGGAGGCAGCTCAACAATATTTCTCTCTCATCAATGTTTTGCTCTCTCCCTCTCCCATACTCTTTTAAAAAATATCAATAAAAACATATTTTTTAAAACAAAGAATTATTTGGCCCAAAACACCGCCGTAGTGACAAGGCTGAGGAACCCTGGTTTACAGGAGGGGAAGCTTGTGGTTTGGGGAGTGGAAGATGTAATCTAGGGTAAGATTTGGAAGAATTTGAATATGGAAGGAGACATGGTAGGGATACTAGTAATGGGGGCTCTGGGTGGGACATCTATTAGAAGGTGGTTCTAGCCGAAACCGGTTTGGCTCAGTGGTAGAGCTACGGTCTGTGGACTGAAAGGTCCCGGGTTCGATTCCGGTCAAGGGCATGTACCTTGCTTGCGGGCACATCCCCAGTAGGGGGTGTGCAAGAGGCAGCTGGTCGATAATTCTCTCTCATTGATGTTTCTAACTCTCTATCCCTCTCTCTTCCTCTCTGTAAAAAATCAATAAAATTTATAAAAAAAAAAAAAAAAAAAAAAGAAGGTGGTTCTAGAGACTTGAAGTCCTCAATGGCATGTTTGAAGCTAACAAGTTTCTTCCAGAGAAAGGAGCCCTGGAAGACTGGCTGGGAATGCTGAGGTCATCAGGCAACTATATGGAGCAGGAGAAATCCCAGAATAAGGTAGGCCAGAGGCAAAGAGAAGTGCAGGTTCTGGGGAAGGTGTACAGTTAAGAATGGCAGCTCTCTTCCAGGGACGGACTCCAGAACCCTGCTCTCGTAGGCGAGGACTGAGCTTGCGACAGATGCGTCTCCACACGCCCTCAGCATCGCACACTTCATGGAAGTAGTGGCAGGTCTGGCCTAGGGCAACTACGTCTCTGACTGGGAGAAATGAGATGATATGTTCCACCTGAGGGGCAGGAGGGAGAAAGCAGGGGTCATTGGGGGCCCCTCAGTGGTCTGACTCCCAGTCCTTTATCCTTAATACCTCCCCCTCCTCAAGGACTCACCAGCTCTGGGGGGAACAACTGAACAGAAATAGGGTTCCCTCTCCCCTTCTTCTCTTCACCCCCAGGCTCTGGGCCACATGAAGGGCAGCTCCGCTTCACCTACCCAAGAAGAAAGGGGAGCACAGGGGTTCCATGAGGGTCATGCCTTTTATTTCCTTCTCTCAGCCTGTCTCTCATTAACTACTATTTGGGGGGCTCATAGCTCTTTCAGCTCTGTAAGGTCAAATCCTTCCATCTTTCTCTCTAGATCCATGGCTCACTCCTCCCTGTCCTTGTTCCTTATTCCAAGTTCTCCAAGTAACCCCTCCCCAGATCTCTTGCTGACCTCTTCTTGTCCTTCTCTTGACACACACACCCCCCCTTCCTCACAGCCTGGTGAACTTTTGCAGCTTCTATCTCTGGCTTCTCCTCACCATCTTAACTGCCCTCTCCCTGCTCCTGTCCTCATGTCTCCAGACCCCTTGGCACTAGTCTTGGGCCCTGTTCCTGCTGCCTTTCCCACACCATGTCCCCTGCCTGGGCTTGGGGGACCTCTAGGGCCCCTCCGCCTCCTAGGCTCCTCCCCCATGGAGTCTGGGGCAAACAAACCTCTCTGTGACCTCACTGCCTAGCCACTGTGACCTGTTTTCCCCAACACTGGCAGGGATTTTCTGTCATAGCTCCTCAGTTCTAGCTCAGCTCTAGCAACCCAATGGCTCATGGGATGTGCATTTTACAGAAGAAATACAGTGTGAACCCCTGGTAGGTGATGACTTTACTTTCAGGGGGTAGTAGGAACTTTCTTCCACTTGAGGCCCTTTTAGCATTCACTACTATAGAGAAATACTGGTGAATTCTTCCTATCTCTGCAGGCCAGAGCCTCCAGAGGATTTATAGCTCCAGTATGACATATGACACGCCCCCTCAAAAAAAGTATAGACTCAGTTTGCCAGGTGAGGGGGAAGGTGACCCTGCTAATGACCATCTAGCTCATAAAAGCATGAAAGTCAGTGCAATTCAGCACAGACTCTTTAAAGTCTCATGAAAAATACACATCCAAAAGCAGACTGCTTTCCCCGGTCAGTGACATTACTGCATGTAATGAAGGGCCACCTATTGTGGCAGAAGGAAGGGTTAGATTTACTCTGAAAGCTTAGGCTATTTCCCAGAGCCTAAGACTTAGCCTTGGGGTGGGGAGTGATGGTTATGAGAAACAGGAATTGGGGTTGTGTCTGTGCAGGTAGGACAGACCTGCACCAATAAATCCAAGTCGCAGCCGGCTCTTCCAGGGGCTCAAAGGCATCCAGTCCTGGTCAGCCAACCCTGAGCTGCTCAATATGACAGACTTGGTTCACTGGGCAAACAGCCTGTCACCCACCCAGTCAAACTCCCATACTCACGGTGACTTAGTAAACAGCTGGCCTGGGTTACCTAAGATGAAATTTTAATAATTCAATAATTTAGGAATGTCAACATCTGGGAAGTGGTTTATGAGTGATTAGGCCACTATTAGCATACTAAGGTGGACGGGCTACTTAGGCCTGAGGCACCTGAAAGGATGCCATGTCTCCCAGTGGGCAGAAGCCTTGCCAGCTTTCTCTCCTTTCTGGATCCCCTGTATTCACTCTGCTTCTCCCCAGGCGGCAAAGAGGGTGAGAAAGGGAAAAGCCCACCGCAAAAGCTGGTGTAGTGGGAAGCCTGGGGTTCCGATGCAAGCTGTCAGCACTTTGCTGTTTGCTCCTGCCACCTCATCCCCTTCCCTCCGCCTCAGTTTCCACATTTGTAAAATGGAAGACTTCTAGACGGTCCCAGTCTTGTCATCACAACTCCTGCCCCGGCGCGTTCTGCCGGCTGGACTGGCAGGCCAGCGGCAGCTCTGGAGGCTTTCCCGGGCTCCTGAAACGAACCCTCCCTCCCTCCCTCCCTCCAGGACCTGAGCTGGGCATCTTCAGACCAATGCAGGGCCTCGGCCGCCCCAGCCGGAATGGCCTGAACGACCCCCTGCGCACTGGCCGCCTATCGCTCTCCGGGCTATCTCCCGGAGCTGGCCCGCTCCGAACACCTACACTCTGCTCTATTCGTGGCCCTGCAATGCTCCCGATGCTGCCCGCGCGCAGCGCTCACTTTTTTTTTTTTTTTTTTTTTACCTCGGTTCTAAAGTTCTAGCTCACACGCCTCCTTAGAGAAGGGATCGCCTTCTCGCCCATGCTACTGGTAGGTAGAGCCGTCCCTCAGAGGCGAGGTGGGACCAGGTTCCCTTCAGAGAATCTGATTGGCCTTCGTGACAGTCACTCGCCTGTATCTGTTTTACGATTGGTCTTCATTAGAAGACGACTGGGGCTTTGCGGTCTCTCGGCCCCTATCCCTTTTAGTTGGAGCGCCGGCGTCCCCGCCTCCTGGTTGAATCTGATTGGCTCTCTCTCCAGCCTAAGCAGTGTGATTGGACGCGGCCGCACGGGGTGAGCCCCGCTGAAGCGTCTGCCGTTGGCGAGAGTTCCATTCGAGTCCTCCTCCCTTCTCTCGCCTCACTCCGGCGCCGGAGTCTCCACCCCCCCGGCGGGTTCTGATTAGCCACTTCCGATGCTGGGGGCCGCGATTGGTCCACCGGATCTCTGGTCCCACTTCCTCCCCCTTGAAGTAACTACGGCGGCTCCGAGGAGGGGAGGGGGGGAAGGGACGGCCGGTCCCGTCAGTCAGGCCACGGTAGCCGCCCGGAGCGGATGGCGGCGGCGATCGCGGCCTCATTTGCCGCCGGTGGTGAGGAGGCGGCGGCCACGACCTCCGTCCCAGGGTCCCCGGGTCTGCCCGGGAGCCGCAGTGCAGAGCGGGCCCTCGAGGAGGCCGTGGCTACCGGGACCCTGAACCTGTCTAACCGGCGCTTGAAGCATTTCCCCCGGGGCGCGGCCCGCAGCTACGACCTGTCAGACATCACCCAGGCCGGTGAGTGCCCCGGGCCGAGCGCCCCCGGGACCCTCGTTTGCATCGCCCCGCCCCCTCGCTTGCTTCTCCCGGGGCCGCGGGGTTTGGCGCTCCGCTCGGCCGCCGGCGTTCCCGCCCCGCGGGTCTGCATAGGTCTGCGATCACCCCCTCCCGCCTTAAGAACTACCGGACAGTGAACGCGCTTCTCGTCTTCTTGGAAAGCCCGGCGTTCCTGGCCGAATGTTGTGGTCCCCTCCCCCCTCCGCTTCTCCTTATTTGCATATTGACGCACCTGTAGAATGGCCCCTCCTCTTACCTGGTTGGCTTATTTGCCTGTTGTTTTTTTTTGTTTTTTTTTCCAACTTCAGTTCTGATCGTTCCACCAAGGAGCCCCCGTGAACCCTTCTAAACGACTCCTTTCTCTTCCTCCACATCGTCTGCAACTCTGTCCCCGTTCCGAGCAGAGACTTAGGACCTCCTTCCCATGGATTTGTCCCTAGCGACCCAATGTTTTTGCTTCCTTTGCTGGCAGACTCTCCCTCTAAGGTCCCAGCCCCTCTCCACTCTTCACCCAGCCGCCAGCCTGTGGGAAAGAACAAATCTTTTCATCTCCCCTCTGCTCCCCAATTCTTCCTCAATCCTGACCCCCTTGTCTGAGACTCCTCCGTCCTTCGTGTGTGAGGTCACTATGGAGCCCATGACCTCATAGGGACTCTAGAATTCCCATTTCTGCTTCTGCTTTCCTCCCCAGGGGGAGAGACTTAGGCAGTTGCTAAAAGGAAGGAAATCTTATCTCCTTGCTAGGAGTGCTGGAAACCTAGAGACTGTCTGACTGTCCTTCCACTCCCCATCGGCAGGATCCCTCTAACCATGCTTCCTACACCCTGGTGTCTGTTGATGGTGGGGTTTGGGGGGGACTACTGTGACAGGTGAGTCAGGCCTCAGCTGCTCTGGAGACGACGTTGGGCTGGCAGTTGTGTGTGTGTGTGTGTGTGTGTGTGTGTGTGTGTGTGTGTGTGCAGGGTTTGGAACAAGGGAGGAGGACTGCATTCCCGAAGCCACACCCCAGCCTAGCCCAGGGTGGGACTTGGGACTGGATGAGAGTGTCCTTCTGTTGACCCTCCCTTGGACTGCATTTCTCACCTAGCAGGTGCCTGCTCACCTGCAAACACTCAAGTGGGCACGGACATACTCTTTCCCACTGCCCTGGAGAGAACCAGTTTAAACCTTTCCACTTTTCTTGGGTTGTTGGGTAAACTAACTTGCCCACTACGCAGTGAGTTCAGGGACTGGGTGAGCCCCAGGAGCCATCCTCTCTGTCTCCCCGAGTCTCCTAACCCCCAAGCTCCAGATTGACCTCAGCAGCTGTGCGACACTCAGTGTCTGTACTTTCCCCTCCCCCTTGCTTATTTTTTGACAAACACCAAATGTTATTCTTTACTTCCTTAGGGCTCTGTCTCAGTGAGTGGACTCCTGGGGAAAACTACCAAGAACTCTCTGATCCTCCTGGCTCTCCCCCCTTCCAGACTCCTCCCCCGGCATTCTGGCTCAGGGTGCAGCCAGTTCCCTTGTGAGAGAGCTTATGTGGTGAGGCGGGGAGATCTCAGCTTTCTGAGAACCCCACTCTGCCTGCTCTCCATGCAGGGATTCTCAGAGCTGTCAGGGCCCAGAATCTAGGCCAGGCGGGGTCCATCTTGTTTGAAACTCTTTTCTGTCCCCTTCTCTCACACAGGGTGCCTGTAGCTTAGGGTGGAAAGGGGAAGTGACAGAAACACAGTATTGCCCATACCCTGCCCTCCACATCTCCTGGCCCTCCAACCCAGACTAAAAGCTTCACCGCTCATGCTGGAATAAGTGTGAACTTCTGCTTTCCCAGCTCTTTCTGAAACAGTGTTTTCTGTGCATGTTACCTGTGGCGTAAGCCCCTGATATCCTTTGGACTTCATTCCTGGTGCCTGATAGCAGGATGACTCCTGAGATGGGAGGAGGGGCCACTTTCACAAAGGAGAAGTGCAGCTCATTCTCTCACAGACCACATCCTGTGCCTCTGTGCCCTCCCTCCTCCTGCTGGGCTCCCTTCCGCTCCTAGCTTTTGGCCCTGCTACCTGCCTACCCCATCATAAATTGTTCTCTCTCTTCATCCACACGTGTGTGCACACACATTTGGTGGATGCAGAGAAAGCAGGCGGGTGGAGGGTGAGAGTGGGAGGACAGCATGTGGTCCTCCCACCCTGTCGGTAACTGTCTTTTCCTGTGACAGGTCTGTGTGCCCCGAGGTTGAGAGCAGAGAGGGAGAGAGAATGATTCCTGGGGCATTAGGCTGTCATCCGCTCAGGCAAACACAAGGCCCACCAGAGACAGAACCTGACAGATTCATTTCCTGTCACAAGACCCATTTCCTTGGGGGCTATATCCCAGATTCTCCTCCCCTCCGCTTTTGCTCACTTTTCCCTGGGGAAGACCATTTAAGAAGTTCACCCAAGTACTGCCGGTCAGGACTTCCCCCAGCAGCCTCTGGGCCCCTCCCAATACAGGCCAGCAGAGGAAACATGAACCCAGGCATAGAGGTTTAAGCAGTGAGTTCTCCATATTGATGGGACCCCGAAATGCCTGAGTCCTTACATTGCACTGGCAGCCCACCACTTGAGTTAAAGCGGCAGTAAAAGACTCTACCCTCTTTCCCATCCTCTCCACTAGTCACTGTGTTCAAGACACAGGCAAAGGGGGTGATTGTTTGAAGTCTGGGCAATAAGAGAGGAAGTAGAAGAAGGTTGGTAGGGCTATAAGAGGGCGGGAATGAGTGAGCCCTGAAGAAAGTGTGTCTGGATGGGAGGGACCAGAGGACTTTAGCTCCCACCTCCAGCTTGGTTGATTGCCCTCCCTGGTCCTTGGGAATCTGTGACTTCATAGATCCTGGACCTGGTTTGCTGTTCCCAGGAGCTGGGGAAAAACCGTTGTCCAGCCCTAACTGGTGTGGCTCAGTGGATAGAGCTTCGGTCTGCGGACTGAGGGGTCCCAGGTTCGATTCTGGTCAAGGGCATGTTTCTTGGTTGCGGGCACATCCCTAGTAGGGGGTGTGCAGGAGGCAGCTGATGAATGTTTCTCTCTCATCGATGTTTCTAGCTCTCGATCCCTCTCCTTTCCTCCCTATAAAAAATCAATAAAATGTAAAAAAAAAAGAAAAGAAAAAGAAAAACCGTTGTCTGTAGTTGAGAGCCTTAATTCCAGAGCCAGGCTTTAATGTCCCTTGGTTTTCCCCTGGACTGCACGCAGGTCGAGGCTGGGAGCTAGGGCCCCTGATGAAGGATGGGCTCTCTCAGTGGTCTCTCCCAGAGATTGCCCACATTCTTACCTTGAGCCTCCCAGTGCATCACATTGTGGTTTTCTTTGGAGCACTAGCACTCTGCTGTGGCCTTTGCCTTCCGTCTCTCCTGGCATCGAGGAGCAACAGGAAACCACAGGAGCTACAGAACCCAGCCACCATTCCAGTATGACCTTCTTTTGTTTGTTGGAAGGCAGCATCCCTGGCTTGTCCCCGCACCCCTAGTCTGAGTTTCTCCCGGCCAGTGACCCCAAGGCCTTTGCCATTCTGGCCATTCTTGGAATGTGCTCTAGTTTGCAGAAGGCTTTGTTCTTCCTCCAGGAAGCCCAGTTTATAGGCCTGATTCTTCAGGTCTGCTGGGAAGGTGGAGGGCTGGGCACCTGGCTCTGGAGAAGTTCAAGGTGTTCCTGTCCAGGCTGGGCCTCTCCACAGCTCTCCCCTGACCCCTGTTCCCCCTAGACCTGTCCCGGAACCGGTTCCCCGAGGTGCCAGAGGCAGCATGCCAGCTGGTGTCCCTGGAGGGCCTGAGCCTCTACCACAATTGCCTGAGATGCCTGAACCCAGCTTTGGGGAATCTCACAGCCCTCACCTACCTCAACCTCAGGTAAGGAGGCCGGGCCAGCGGGAGGTGCAGCTTGTCCTTCTCCGCCCAAGCACCAGTGGACAGTATCCTGGGGGACCCTCCTGGAGACTGTTAGAGGAGGCCACACGGGGGTGCTCTGCCTGGGGAGTGAACCCACTGCCTTCCTTCCTTCCACAGCCGAAACCAGCTGTCATCGCTGCCGCCCTACATCTGCCAGCTGCCCCTGCGGGTTCTCATTGTCAGCAACAACAAACTGGGGGCCCTGCCCCCCGACATCAGCACCTTGGGAAGCCTTCGGCAGCTTGTGAGAATGGGAGCAGGGGGAGGAGAGGGACTGGAGAGCCAGGCCCCGGGGACCTCTGGGGGGAGAAGTGAAGGAGAGGCAGGATGCACCCTAAGGGTGAGGCCCGGACTAAAGGAGGTGGCCAGAGACAGGAGACACTCCTGGTCTTGTGGCTGCTTCCTAGTTCTCTCCTCATTCCAGGATGTGAGCAGCAATGAGCTGCAGTCCCTCCCCTCCGAGCTGTGCAGCCTCTCTTCCTTGCGGGACCTCAACGTTCGGAGGAACCAGCTCAGCACCCTGCCTGAGGGTAAGGAAGATGAAGAATTGGAGGTGTGGGGAGGAGAGAGAGAGAGACAGACAGAAGGTAGAGAAAAGTTAGAGAAAGGGAATCTTCCACAGAAAAAGAATGCTTAGTTGACCAGGGTTTTGTATGGTATCAAACAAACTAAATTATTTTATTTGTTCTTGTCCAGCAACCCTCTGAAGCTGGCGAGACATGGGTTACTTGCTCTATTTTACAAATGTGGGGAAAGATACAGAAAGGGGAGGAGGTGAGTGTGTCGTACCCCGTAGAAACTCAAGGTCAGAGGGGCCTGTAAGGTGATCCCGTGTCACCACTCACCCGGCAGGAGTTCTCAAACCCCTGCGTCAGATGGCGCCCTGCACCTCCTCCCCAGAGAGCCTGAATCAGTGCGGCCACAAGCTGGAGCCCAACCAGCTCCATTTTAATGAGCTAATTGTGATGCACCCCAACATTCGATAGCTTCTGCTCCAAAGCAGCCACACCTTTTATTCAGCCCGCATTGTTTTATATGTTCCCTGTGCTTTAGGTGGGGATGAGGTAATTGTGAGTGATATTTGGAGCCATCTCTTAAAATGTGATGGCTTAATTAAATCTTAATTTAATGGGAGAGAAGCCGGAGGAAGTTCTAGAACAGGATAGAGAGCTACAGGAGCTACACAGGGAGGCACTGGCTCTGCTGGGGAACTTGAAGGTTTTGCTCCGAGATGCAGTAGGGGTTGACCGTTGAAGGAGTTCTCCACCCTCTGCAGCCTCGGCAGAGGAAACCCCATATGTAACACGTGTGGGTGGGAGTAAACCTGGTCCAGCATGGATGCGGTTAGAAAGAGCCAGGCAGAGAGGACCTGTGCCAGGCTGGCCTTGCTTTTGAAGAACGAGACAGGCGTCAGGCGGTCATCCGTTTCCTCGGGGCTCCCCTCACGCCTGTGCTGCCCTCTTCTAAGTCAGCAGGGCTGCACATAAGCTCTGTCTGGGCCATAAAAGAGACCCCAGCAAAATGTCCTGGGGACACAGAGGAAGGAGCAATGAATTCCAACTTAATGTTGGGAAGATTGCATGGAGAAGGTGATGAGCTGAACCTTGAAAGCTGTGTGGACAGAACAATGGCATTCTCCTCGTTGAGCAAAACAGCATGTGGAAAGGCCCAGAAGTCAAGGGGCTGGAGGGCTATCTGATGGGGTGTGAGGATGGGCAGTGAGATGGCATGGGCTGAGCCAGAACAGACGAAGGTACCCCTGCCTATGGGCAAGCACAGTCTCCCCAGGGGCACGGCTCGGCTAGTGGAGTGCAGGCGGGATTGCAGCCCCTCCTGCCTGGTGCCTTTGTGTGGGGCACAGCTCACTCACCCTCAGCAACCCCAGCTGCAAGCCATGGAAAGTTTTTGAGCAACATGGTATCAGCGTTGGGCTGACTTGAGACTTCTGATGGTCACTTGAGAAAGAAGAGGTGGTTGGAGTGGGGAGTGGGCAGGAAGGAGAAAGGGAGGAAGCACCTGGGATGGGCATGAGCTGAAGCTGATGGGAGAGGGAGGCATGAAGGTGGCCATATCTGAGCAGGAAGAGAGCGGGGAGACTGTTCTTAGATAGTGCCCTCCGACAGCCAGGCCACAGCAGCGAGGAGAGGAAGTGAGCCCTTGGGCCTTCTCCTGACTTATCTTCACGCGCCCTCAGAGCTGGGGGACCTTCCTCTTGTCCGCCTGGATTTCTCCTGTAACCGCATCTCCCGAATCCCAGTCTCCTTCTGCCGCCTCAGGCACCTGCAGGTCATTCTGCTGGACAGCAACCCCCTGCAAAGCCCGCCTGCCCAGGTAAGAGGTGGCCTGGGGCGGACATTGGAGACAGGGTTGAGGTTGGGTGTGAGTGTGTGTGGGTCCCTTTAGTAGCCAAGTAGGATCTCGGACGCCCCCTGCTTCTCCCTAACTCCTTTCGTGCTCATCTTTCCACTCAGATCTGCCTGAAGGGGAAACTTCACATCTTCAAATATTTGTCAACAGAGGCTGGGCGGCGTGGGGCCGCTGCACTGGGGGACCTGGCCCCTTCCCGCCCCCCGAGTTTCAGCCCCTGGTAAGTAAGGGTGTGGGAAGGCAGCCTGGATCCCCAGTGCCCCTTCCTGGCACCAGTATCCCCATGGTTCCCAGAGGGAGGATGGGCCGGGGGTTGCTGCCCAGTATAGGACTGACCGGCTCTCTCTGGCTGGCCCCAGCCCAGCTGAGGACTTATTTCCGGGACGTCGGTACGATGGCGGGCTGGACTCAGGCTTCCACAGTGTGGACAGTGGCAGCAAGAGGTGGTCTGGAAATGAGGTGAGTGCCTCCCTTCCAAGGGACATCGGTGATCTCAGGGCCCTTTGCCTTTTACCTCCAAGTCTCAGAGTGACAGGTGGCGGCTGTCTTCTTCCTTCCCTTGCCCATGCATCCTGGGGAAGGGCCGGCTTAGCAGCGGACCCTAAGGCCCCGAGCCCAGGAGTCCCCAGTTGTCTTCCATCTCTGCATCTCTGCATTTACAGTCAACTGATGACTTCTCGGAGTTGTCGTTCCGGATATCGGAGCTGGCCCGGGAGCCCCGGGGGCCCAGGGAGCGGAAGGAGGACGGCTGTGGTGAGTGGTGGTGGCAGGGGCCATGGGACCGAGGGGAATGGGCGAGCCTGAAGGCCCCCATCTACTTGCTGACGTGTCCTGCCTCTCCAGCTGATGGAGACCCTGAGCACATTGACTTCATTGACAGCCACGTGCCGGGGGAGGATGAAGAGCGAGGGGCGGCCAAGGTGAGGGGCTGGCCTTGTCCGTCGTCCGTCTGCTGTGAGAGGAGAGCTGGAGGGAGGGCAGTGCAGGCTTGGAGGTCAGGGCTCCCTCATTCCTCTTGCTGTTCTTTCGTCAGGAGCAGCAGCCGCCGGAAGTAAGCCCTGTAGCAGGGGACAGGGAGAGGGCGCCAAGCAGCAGGTACCAGAGCCACCTGAGCTGGCCACCTCCTACTTTTGCTCAGTCTCCTTGCACCGCCTCTCTTCTCGGACCTACTGTCCCCCTCTCATCCGGCCTTTGCCCCTCAGGCGGGAGGAACCGTCTGGAGAGGAACGGCGCCGCCCGGACACTTTGCAGCTGTGGCAGGAGCGTGAGCGGAAGCAGCAGCAGCAGCAGCAGCAGAGTGGAGTGTGGGGGGCCCTCAGGAAGGACAGGTGTGGGCACAGGACTACTGTCAGCTGGTGGGCCTGGAAATGAGTGGAAATGAGCCCCTCAGGGTTGGCAGCCCCCTGCTGACCCCACCTCTCTTCCTTCACTTTCTAGTTTTCAGAAGTTGGGGGTCAGGACTCCTGGTGGAGGAGCTACAGCCTTATCCACTCAGGCCACATACAAGTATGTGTCCCCCAAAACCGCCCCTCCCTGAGCCCTCTCCCGGCACATCTTCCCCCTGGCCGTCCCTTCTCACTCCCGTCTGTCTCCTCAGCGGCATGCCCAAGTCCAGTGCCGCCCCGCTGGGAGCTCCAGGGGGACAGGGAGCTCCTGTCTCGGCCCCCGCCTCTCAGGAGCCCCTTCCTGCAAGTGGACCAGGTGTGACGGGCGTTGGGGAGAGGATGGGGGCTTGTGTAGTGAGGGGGAGCCTGAGAGAAGAGTGGGACGCTGAGGGGATGTCTCCCCTGCCTCTGTTCCCAGTGACAGCACCTGCTCCTCGGCCACTTGGCTCCATCCAGAGACCAAATAGCTTCCTCTTCCGTTCTTCCTCTCAGAGCGGCTCAGGTGGGTCTCCCCTGCCCGGCGCTGACCCAGTGCTGACGCAGCCCTCACCCCCAGGCTGCTCTCACCCCCTGGCCTGCGAGTTCTCCGGTCAATTGGCTCTTTGTGTGGAAAATCCCACAAACAGACAGGAGATGTGTGTGCCAGACACTAATCCAGTACGAAGTCTGCAGTGGTAGTGGAGACAGCCCCACCCCCTCCTTTTCCCAGGTCCCTCCTCACCAGACTCTGTCCTGAGACCTCGGCGACCCCCCCAGCTTCTGGACGAGAAGGAGCTGATGGCTCAGTTGCGCCAGGTAAGGGAGGTGGGTCTGCCCGAGTGGGGCCAGGGCTCAGCATGGCACCTCCTGGTTTCCTGGCCGCCCTCAATATCCTCTTTGTCCGCCCTGCTGCTTTGGCTGAGGACGGGAGATGCAGGCCGGAGTTCCCTGCTGACTCTGACGTCTCATCCCCCATCCTCCTCCCCTCCCTGCCTTTAGGTCCTTGAGTCGAGGCTGCAGCGGCCTCTGCCTGAGGACCTGGCAGAAGCCCTGGCCAACGGCGTCATCCTCTGTCAGCTGGCCAACCAGCTGAGGCCCCGCTCCGTGCCCTTCATTCATGTGCCCTCACCTGCTGTGGTGAGTTGGGGCCCAGGGTGGGAAGTAGGGGATGGGACAGGGGACTCCTATGGCCCTCCCTTAATCTTTTTCCCTTTCTCACACCCCCCCAGCCAAAACTCAGTACCCTCAAGTCTCGGAAGAATGTGGAGAGTTTCTTAGAAGCTTGTCGAAAAATGGGGGTTCCTGAGGTATGGGGGGTTGATCCCAGGATCCTGGGGCTGGTCTATAGAGTGGTAGCTTCTGGGCTTAGGTGAACCCTTTGCATGATGGTAGGGTTCCATTTCCAGGGAGTATGTGCTCCCCAGAAAGAAATGCCTGTCCTGCATGCCTCCCTTCCCTGCATGCCTCTTCCCTGCGCTCTGCATGTTGGCGTGGCTCTGGCCCTGGCATGTGAGGGCAGGGGGTGGGAAGAATTGTCTTGCTGCTGCTAATGACGTCTGCCCTTTGTCCTTGTCCATCTGCCCTACTCTCCCTTCCCAGGCTGACCTGTGCTCGCCCTCGGATCTCCTCCAGGGCACCGCCCAGGGGCTGTGGACCACCCTGGAGGCCGTGAAGCGGGTGGGGGGCAGGGCCCCCCAACCGCTCTGGCCCCCCTCTGGTCTGGGCGGCTTCATCCTCTTCTACGTGGTCCTCATGCTGCTGCTCTGTGTCGTCTACACTCGGCTCCTGGGTTCCTAGGACCTGAAGTCACCCCTCCCCCCACCACCCTGCCCCGTTTCTATTTATAAGACTCCTGTGCAACCCCCTGCCCACCGGTGGTGCCTTCAGCCCCTACCAAAGACACTAGTGAACCCTCCTCCCCTCACAAACACTGACCTCAGAGGCCCCACTCTGGTACCCCCAGACCCTGGGCCCCCAGCCTCTGGCCCCTCCCATCTCAGTGCTGATGGTGCCTTCTCCCACCCAGCCCTGCGCTCTGCTCCCCCAGAGGGGTGGATCTTAACTCTCCTATTTTCACTCTCTCCCCACCCCCGATATAGGGGGCTAAATTATCTATATTTTGTAGAGAGAACTCTATATATTTGTAGGAGATGCAAGGCCCAGTCTGGGTCCCCATCTCATGTATAAATTGTACAGACTGTGGCTGCCTGTGTGTGTGTGTGTTTGCGTCTGCTCCTACCGTGGCCAGGCCCAGTCCTGGCAGTACCCATCGGGCTCTCTGTGCCAGCCTGCCTACTCCAGTGTTTTCCTATGGAAATGACAGGTCGCTCCTCCTCTATGAGCCTTGGCCCCTGTGTCATCTCCCTTGTGTGATCTGCTAGCAGCTTCTTTGCATCTCATTTGTCCCCAAGTCGTGTCCAGGGTGCCCTGACCTCGCCTACATTTTTAAGGGCCAGCCTGTCAGCTTCCTTTGACCAGGCTCCTTTAGGGTATCTCCCACCCTGCCCTCTGCCCAGGGCTGGGAAGCCCAGAGGAAGATATGCAGGGGGATTTAACCTGGGCCCCTCCCCCCCAGGAGTCCCTGTGCCAGCCCCACCACATCCTGGAAGAGGAGGGGGCCCCAGGAAGGGGCCTCCCCTACATCGCTGCTGTCGTCCATGCACTGCTGGAGCAGTCTTAGGGTTGAGGTAGGGGCACAGGGCCACGGCCGGCCTGGGATCCAGGAACAGAAGACAGCCAGGCCTGGGCTCTGCCCTAGCGAGGACTGGTGAGGGTGCCCTCGCTGGCCCTGTTCCTCAGGCACCCCGTTGTTGGGGTGGAAGCGGGCCTGCCCGGCAAGGAGCCTGGATTCCTCTGAGTGTGACTGAGGGTCTGGGATGGAAGATGGGGCATCGGATGTTGTGTCAAGTGCAATAAAGAAGCTGGAAGACCTCTAAGTTGCCGCTGGTCTCTGTGTCTGCGAAGGAAGGTGGTGGGAGCAATGCATTGTGGGAGAGGGTTCGCCTCCATTCCAGCTGGGTTCTCCGGACCTTTGCTCGGCTCTACCCCTGAAGGCGGGCCGGCCGCGCAGCCCCCGCCCCCGTCGCCCCGGGACCAGCGGGAGCGCGCGCCACGTGGCCGGAAACGCACTGCGTGCTGGCGTCGCAGCGAGGCCCAGCGAAGTGGGTGAGGTGGCGAGGTGGGCGGGCAGCCTGGACTCACCGGACCGACAGGGTGGTGCCCGGCGCTGCGGGAGGCCGGGACCGAGGGGGGCCAAGGAGGGCCAGGCAGGCCGGGTGGGGGGCCTGGGCCGCCAGGGGCAGGGCGCAGAGGTGCGGGCCTGCCTTCCCTCCCCCAGACGCGGCATGTTGCCCTGGCCCTTTCCACGGTGGGACGCCGGCGAGGAGCAGGCGCCGGAGGAACAGGGCCCCTCGCCGCTCGGTGACCCCCGCAAGGTGTGGAACTCTGGAGAGAGAGCCCTGGGGGGGCCAGGCACACCCCCGCAGCACAGGTGAGGGCGCCGCACGCCGGAGCCACTTGGAAACCCGCTGCGGAGTGGCGGGTCCCGCAGTGCGCAGGCTCCCAGCGGGCCATACGAACAATGGCACCTTTGACCTTGCCATGGAGGTTTTCGGACTTGGAGGGGGAAGGTGGGGACGCTGTGACTGGGCCATCTCAGTACCTTCCAACCTCCCAGCCCTCAGTTCCCGCCCCGAAGGCCTTCCTGGATCCGCAGAGAGCAGCTGCGGGCCGCACCCCGCTCAGGCCGAGCCGCGGTAGCGGAGCAGTACCCAGGAACCCCAGGTAGGGACTGGGCCTTGCCACCTCCACGCCTTAATATCCTTTTACCCACCCCTGAGCCTGTTTTAATCTCAAATTAACACCCCCCCCCACCCCCCAGTTCCCTTTTCTCCCCAGATGGCCTGGGGGATGGCCCCTTCAAGAATGACCCCGCTGGCACCATGGGACCCCAACTACGAGGCTAACGCTGGTTCTCAGCTGGTGTGGGTGAGTAGGGGTGCCTATGGCTCTGGTGTCGGGGTGGGGCAAGCATGCTCCAGTGATCATTCCTGACCCTCCACAGCAGGCGTCCTCAAACTTTTTAAAGTGGGGGCCAGATCACGGTCCCTCAGAGAGCTGGAGGGCCGGACTATATGAACTACTAATTCCTACTGTAACACCTCGGCTGCGCTCACTGCCCAAAAAACCTGGCGGGCCGGATCAGACTCCTCTGCGGGCCACATGTGGCCCGAGGGCCGCAGTTTGAAGACGCCTGCTCCACAGGGACCCAGCTGTGCTTCCGGTGCCTCTTTCTCAAGCCGGACTTTGTGTCATCCCTCCTTCTGGCCGCTGTATGAGGCAGCCTCGGGCAGGGACCCCGGACGCCTGACCTCTGCAGCAGTACATCAGAATGGGGAGCAGGTGCCCAGGGATGCAGGTAACTTGCCTTGGTCCCCGCAGACTCAGGACTCGGGCTCCGTGAGCTCCTTAGGGAACCAGCGCAGAGGTCCATGGGATGGGAACCCCAGCCTGCCACCCTAACAGCCTTTCTCCCTAGGATTCCCGGTGATGTGCCGCGAAGATGTCTTTCTTTCAGACCCGCTGCTGCCCCCTGGGCAGCGAGTTCCCCTGCACCTGTCTGAAGCCCCTCAGCAGGTAAAACCCCCCCCCCCCCCCCCCCCCCCCGGCCTTATCTCAGCCTTCCTGCAGGGCTTGGGAGGAGTCACTTCCCTCTCTTCTCTCCTCAGGTGATGGGCTCTCTGAAGCTGCGGCTCCCACCCCCGATCATGTCCCCCCAGGTCCACCCCTCCCGGTCCCCTGGCTGCTGCACCACCTGGCTCAGTGGGCCTGAGCTGATCGCCCTCACTGGCCTCCTGCAGATGAGCCAGGGGGAGCCACGACCTAGCTCCTCCTCAGGCTCCTCGGCAGCTCCCACCCCCCCTTCTGGCCCCCTAGACCCTGTCTCTGATCACGCAGGCCCCAGTGGTTCTCACTGCACCGACCCACCTCTCCCACAGACCCCAGACACCAATTGTCCATAGCACCTCGGGGGGTATCACTGGCCGTACTCCCTCAGGCGGTTCTGTTGTCAATAAATATGTTCCTTTGCAAACAGGCTCCTTGTGGTAAGTAGCAGAATGGGGCCTTCAGGCAGGGATGGGGGTCTCTTCCTCCATGGCAGCTTTGGCTGCCCTCCCCTAAAATTCTTGTTACTCACCGGCCCCCCTACCGTAGGATGAGGGAATACATGGGCCTAAGACCTTTTCGGGCTGACCAAGCAAGGCACCTTTAATGAGGGGCCCAGTGAGTCCTCCAGACAGAGTAAATAAGGAACGAGGATTCCATCAGCTCTGCTGCGCACAGGCAAGGGAGGACTGTGGACGCACGTGGCTGACATTAGAAGAGGCAATCTAGGGAGTAAGGGGGTGGCACATCATTTTGGGGGGACACCAAAGGTAAGATGCTTTCATCCTTCTTGCGCTGAGGTCCCAGAAGTTCAGCCTTGGAGCTGAGGGTTAGTTCTTCGGCTTGTTGGAGACATAGGCAGGCACTGCAGGTGTGTGTGTGTTGTGGGGGCGAGAGGGGGAAGGTCTTGTGGGAGGCATCAGAGGAAGGGTGGCAGCTTGGTTCTCCTGAGACTCTGGACTGATGCCGTAAAACTTTGCAGGGAAACAGAGGATCACAGCTTTGGCTGAGAAAGCCCAGAAGTTTGTAGGATTTTTTGGAGGGGGGATGGTGTTCTAGAATTTTCTCTCTCAAAAGAACCTAACTTCTTGGGGAACTTCCTCCGCTGGAAGTAGCAGAGTGGGCAGCAGTCCCGAAGGGGCAGCTCAGTGCCTCTGTAGGTCACCGTACGGGGTGCCTGTGCCTAGAACCCCTCAGTGGTGGGAACACATGGGAATGCATTCTAACTTTGCCATTTTCTCTCCCTCATCTCACTTTCCATCTGTCAGATGGACCTGGCAGACTCTCACCCTTGCCTCCAGAATTGGTTCTGGGACTTGATTTGGGGTAGTTGTGGGGGCATTGCAGGTGCAGGTCAATTAGTTGAGGTGGCTGGAGGGGGTGGGAGGGGTCCAGTATAGCACTGTCCATTTCTAAGTAATCTGGGGCCATGTACTCAGTGCACACATACTCCTGAGCTAGTTGAACTGGGCTGATACCCTGCTGCTCTCCGGCTCTCCCCAATGCTGGGATGGGGGCCTTGGAGCCTGTGCCGTGGCTCCCTGGCTCTGGTTTGTAGGAAAAGGGGAGGGAGCTTGAGGAAGAGGACTCTGGTGGAAAACAGCTCATGGGCACTTAACTCAGTGCCCTCCCAACCCTAGAACAACTGGTGGGGAGCAGCGTTGGCAGCAGAAGGAAGGTTACGGGGGAGGTGCTATCATAAAGTAGCCCACCCACCCCTCGTGGGCTCCCATTGACTCAGTCACTCCGGGCTCCCATGGGTATGTGGTCCCCTCCCCTCTCTAAGCCCTCCGGGTATGGGGTATTAGGCTGATGCCCCAGTGTCCCAGGTCTGGAGGGTTGCTTGCTTGTTCCTCTCACCCAGGCACCCATTACCATTCATGCCCCTTGATTGGGCCCTGATGACTCCAATCTCATGAGGCTAGCTAGGGCAGTGGTCAGCAAACTCATTAGTCAATAGAACCAAATATCAACAGTACAACTATTGAAATTTCTTTTGAGAGCCAAATTTTTAAAACGTAAACTTCTTCTAATGCCGCTTCTTCAAAATAGTCTCGCCCAGGCCGTGGTATTTTGTGGAAGAGCCACATTCAAGGGGCCAAAGAGCTGCATGTGGCTCAAGAGCCGCAGTTTGCTGACCACGAGGCTAGGGGACAGCATCTGGAGGGGCTCATCAGAGGATCCCTTGGCAGTGGCTCAGTCCTAACCACTGGCACCAGCGTCTCTAAGTCGCTTCATGCCAGAAGTTGCATGAACGCTTCGGGCACCATGACATCTATTGTTTATAGTCACAGCGCCCACTTGTGCACCTGAGTGGCTGAGTTTCAGGAAGAAGGAGTCTGCACGGCCACACAGCACACACGGAGCAGGGACCCCAGGTAACGATACAGGGTGTCCTGGGGCTTCTGCAGCAGGCTCAGTACCCCCAAACCCAGGCATAGGCCTCATGTCCACCTCAGCCCCTTGGGCCACAGTGTCACAGGCCAGACATCCTGAAACGGAGTGAGGATTCAGGTCCTGGGATCCTTACGGCAATTGGAACCTTGAAGGACAGTTGGATGATCACAGGATGGGGCGAGGAAGTGGGATGGGGATAGTGTGTTGGAGTCACTGTGCTCTGAGAACTGATAAGTGTAAACGCTTAATGTTTGAGCTTGATTTCGCTGACCTAGAGCAGGGAGAGGCCATGGATAGAGCAAATCCACTCTGGGACCCTGGCCCCATATTCTCTCCGCCCACCCAGAACTTGGCCTCACTGCAGTGGCTGCATGCCCTATCACAGTGTTTCCCAAAGTGTGGTACGCCTACCCCCAGGGGTACGGGAAGAGTTTGGTCGGGGTACGCACTGCATCGTGCTTAGCTGCGCCTAATTCTACGTTCTCATGAGTACGAGGGGTACTCAGAGTTACGGAAATTATAGAAGGGGTACACGTGTCAAAAGTTTGGGAAAACACTGCGCTATCACACTTGCTGCTCCACCCGCTGGTCCCCGCCATGCCCGGGCTGCGGTCACACCTGTGGAGGATGACCAGGCGGCCCGGTGCGCGCCCATGCGTGGCTGCAGGTGCACCTGCCAGGCTCTGGCTGAGCTTGGGCGGTGCTCCACCAGTGAAACTTCTGCTCCGGTAGCCGAGGCAGGAGCAACAGCGGTGCTGGGACCTCTGCTTCTGCCAGTGGCTGCGAAGCCTTGGTGGGGACCACCTGTGAGATCCATTCCGGCCACAGGCAGTGAAGTGGCCGGCAGAGGGGCAGAGACGACCGAGGAAAGGCCGGAAGTGGGTAGAGGTGGCTGCTACCCGTCCTGATGCCCAGCATCTCTCTCCGGCCCCGATGTGAAGCTTATGGCAGGGGTTCTGCAGTGGACCCTCGCTGCCTATAGTGTGTACCCCAGTGACTGCCCAATGACTCGGACACCCTGGTCTCCGAAGATTGATCCTGGCAGGCTCCCCTCGCCTCCTCTCCTCCAACAGCTCATAACTCGCCACCCTCGCACGCCCAGGTAGCTGGACGCCAACCCAGTGGTTTGAGTGGGGAGTCTCCATTCCACCTGCTCGGACTGGGCTCTGCAGAGGAGAGTGTGGGGGGCATCTCCATTGATTAGAGCTGCCAGTGAGAAAGTGGCCGAGGAATATGAATGCAGCATGTAACTGTCAGCAGTGACTGTGCTGCTGTGGAATCTGCAGACCTGGATCACCTGCAGCTGAGCCTGCCACCCTTACAGCAGCACCCTCTTCTGAGTCTAGCAATCCAATATCCTTCCCACTCAGGACTCTTGTACTCTTCCTTCCCAAGTAATTCTAGGAACCAGAACGCCTAGCACTGAGTTGTGCTGACTTCCAAGGAGCTGAAGGTTCTCTGGATTTGGGGTGATAGGAGGTGTCTTGGGATAAGTAAATGTGGACTTCCCATGTATGGCCCGTACCCACCAGAATCCAGGTCGAGAGACCGTGGAAGAAGGTTCAATGGAGGGAAAGGCCGTCTGCAGGGGCATTTCTGTCATGTTGCCCCATTACCTCCGCCCCCCAAAATGCCACCATGGGCCAGCTGAAATCTCTGATCACAGTAGACTCTCTGGTGGGGGTATCCGTTGCCCTTTGTTCCCTGAGAGGTTTGAGATGGGGTTGGAATTCAGACATTTAATTTTTTAATTGATTTCAGAGAGGGAGAAAAAACATCGATTTGTTGTTCCACTTACTCATGCATTCACTGGTTGATTCTTGTATGTACCCTGATTGGGGACCAAATCTGCAACCTTGGAGTATCCGAGGATGCTCTAACCAGCTGAGCTACCAGCCAGGACTGGAATTCAAACATTTTGACAACTCACTTCTGATCTCCCATGGACCAACTAACTTGTGGGAAGATGACACTGCTCAGTGCACTCTACAAGACAAACCAGCAGTTGACACCAATGGGCCTTAGAAGACCTCATGATATCCCTCTGATAGAAAGTAAGATACCTAAAGCGGGGAAATGAGGAGAGGGGAGGGGAGGAGGGCAAGTGTAGCCTTCATTAAAGATGGTGTTTGGGGAGGGGCACAGTCAGGAAAAGATGTAACAGAGTGCTGAAGCAAGGGAACCTGATTCTTTTTCTGAGCAGCGAGTAGAGCTTTCCCATTTCCCAGGCCGGGAAAGCAGGGGCTGGAGAACTGGAGGAGCCCAAGGTGCAGTATGCACGGAAGCCAGCTAGTACCCATAAACACCTCTTAAGGGTGATACTGGGAGTGGGATACAGGAGCCAACCAGCATCCTGAGGGAGGGTGTCCAGCCAGAAGGCAGGTGGTGCCCCACACACACACACCAGCAACGCCCATCAATATGCAGGAGGTGCTGGCAGCTCAGGGTGTGCACTGGGGACAGTGGTAGCTGCCACTCTTGGTCAGTGTTGGCCAGGGAGAGGCAGGTATGTGGTCTGTAAGTCGCCACCGAAACAGTATGTTCAAGGCCACCCAGTCCCTAGTGTGGTCCTCATCTATGTGCCATAGGCCAATGTGCGAAGTGGCAGGGACAAAAAAGCCACCGGCAGGCCCCTCCCTTTCCATCTGGGTGCTGCTTTTAGGAGCAGGGAGTGCCTTTCCTGGCCTGGAGCCTTTTCCCATAGGTTTGATTTGAAACTCCTCCTTTCCACTCCCCATCAGCCAAGCCACCTGGCAACACCCTGTCCTGTGAAATCACAGCTGCTGTCGGAGAGCAGCTCCTTAAATGGTGAAGATAAAGCAGGAAGCAGCAGGGATCTCAGTGCCTGGGTTCTGGGTAAGCAGCAGAGGTAGATGGGTTGGTAATCAATGCCAGGTGACTTAGCCTGCTGGGTACAAAAAGAGCCTGGAGTCAAATTGGCCTAATCAGTTGCCCTAGCAACACTGCCCTTGTCCTTACCAGGACGAGATTTATTCTAGCCTGTTGCCCTGGTAACTTAATGGCTCCCCAGGGACAGGAAATGGCAGAACCTCAGCTCTGCTGGGTGAGAACACTTCTCCAACCACAGGGGTCCACCTGTGCACCCCTCTGCAGGTGCAGGACAGCCATGGGTGGGGGTGGAGAGGAATCCAGAGGCAGTGGCTGCAGAACTAAGGCCAGGCTGTTCCATGTGCCCCTCCCGCCTCCATTCAGTTTCCTGCTCCACTGTGGAGTGATGCAGGGATAGCGCCACACATTTAGCCCCTCCATCAGTCCTCTCCCACCATGGCCTGACCTGCACCTGCTTCCTCACCCACAGATGACCTGCTGAAGGACAGAACCAAACCAGAGGGTGGTCTGCAGAGCATGGTCATAGCAATGGTCAGGGACTTGGTCAGAAACCTGGTGGGAGCCCTACGGTGTATGTGCGTGGGGCTCCGATTTACAACTACCAGGCAGGGCCATGCAGGGCTGCCCCAGGGGTTAGGGCAGGACGAACACAGCTCAGTCATTTAGACGTTTTCTATCCGGTGAGGGATTTTTCCATTCTTTGCCACCTGGAGAGAGGAAGCCAAGCTGCCAAGGGCAGCTGTAGTCCTAGTCTTGGCATGTGCCTGGGGAGCTCGACTTCTCTGCCGTGGGGTCTGAGGCTGACTGGTCAGCCAGCTCTGGCAGCGAGCTGGCTGGAGTCCCTATGGGACAGGGTGACTGGGAGGCAGGGAAAGGAACTGCAGGGAGGTGCTGGGCCCAGGAGCCAAGCAGTAAGGAGGTCCCTGGGAAACAGCAGGAGTGAGACTGAAACATGCAGTCAGAATCACTGCAGCTTCTGGTTCTTTAAATCTCACCTCTAAACCTATTTTTGCTTAGGAAAGGAGGGGTGGGTGGAGAGAGAAAGCTGGGGGGAAATAAGAAAGGCTTCTTCCCCTACTACACAGCAACAGATAGCAGCTTTCCTGCTGCCCTTCCCTGGCTCTAAGCAAAGAGACAGGAGGAAGGACAGAGAGATAGTCAAGGGTGACAGAAAAATACTAAAAGGAAACAGAACACAATAAATCCAGGGGGAAAGAATAGTGGTCCGCCCTGGGAGACCCCACCAGAGGGGAGGAGGGGAAGCTGGGAGAAGGAAAACAGGCACAGGACAGGATGGGTGGGAAGGTGGGAAGCCATCCTGGCTGGGCCAATGGCAGCAGCTGGAAGTATTTTCAGGAAATTCTTTGAATAAAGCCATAACCCAATACCTGTTTCTTCCTGCTGTTACACTGTTAAAGGTGACTGGGCAGAAACACCCAGAGAAATCCCAAGAACGAAAGGGCCAAGAGTCCCCGGGGAACTTGGAAAAGGGAGGAACCTCTTCAGACAGAAGGCTGAGTGCTGGGCCTCGCCTCAGTCAGGTGAGGTGTTTAACCCGAGCTATCTGTCTGTCACCACACAGACAGACACCAAGGATGTTGCCACATCCTCAGGTGGAAACCGTCTGGGGAGCGGCTGAGAATGCACCTGGGAGTGGCTGACCGCCACCCATCTCCTGTCACTGCAGAGGCGGCCCTGCTCTGGGTGCTCCCTCCCATCGCTAACACGGACTCCAGTTCAGACAGGAGCTGGGCGAGGAGTCCCGTCCTGGGCCAGCTGTCCTTGACAAGCCAACAGCAGGCAGCATCACAGGCAATGTTAACAGCAACCCGGGCAGGCATGCTGATGGATGTGAGGGCACTCAGCTGGCCCCAAACAAGACTGAGTGCCATTTTCTTTTTCTTTCAAATGCAGTTCTTTTCCAACATTGCCTATTAACAGCTTTGGTGCAGAGGTTGGGGGGCCAGGGAGGTACATGGAAAAAAGAAAGGAAAAAAGTAGCCAATTGCACAAAGCCTTTCCCTGGAAAAGCCCGGGCCCTGGGGTGCTCAGAACCTGGGGCTGCCCTCCCCCTGCCCTCTGGAGCTCTGGCTTTGCTGGTTGAGGCACAGATGGGGACTCATTCCATTCCCCATGTGAAAGAGCTGTCTGGGAGAGGGAGAATGGCTGCTTGTGTGTATATCTCTCTCTGTGTGCATATATATATATATATATATATATATAATAGGCTATATTAGAAAATTCTCTCTATATAAATATAAAACACTGGTATCCAAACATGACTCCACAACTAACTAAAGTGCTTGACAGGAGTGGGACATGTCTAAGTATGTAGGTAGAACTAGTCATTCTGAGTGTCCAGGGTGAGGGAGAGCGCTAGGGAAGCAAAAACCATGGAGAAAAGGGTGTGCTGGCCCAAGCCAGGGCACCAAGCGCCTTCTCAGCCTGTCTGATCACTGTCCCGCATCAAGACCTCACCTCAGCCCCACCCCGACTGTGCTCTTCCCGCTGTGCTTCTGTCCAGAGAGCAGTGCTGGAGAGCTGGGCATGGCGACGAGTTCCCCAGGGCAACCTGGTCAGCCTTTGCCCAGCTTCCTCTGCCCACGGGGTTGGGAGGGAACTAAGGGAGCATTGTGTATGCGGAGGGCAGGAGAGGAGGGGGATTACTGTCATTGCAATTAATAGTTTGAAAAATAAAACACTATTGCTCCTCTAAGCTGGGCCCTGCCTTCTCTCCTAGGCCTCCTGCCTCGGTGGGGGCTGAAGGAAGGGAGGAAGCTGCCCTTTTATATGCAAGCTCCAAGCAAAGCATTAGCACCTCCAGCTCCACGACGCCCACCCCGCACAGCAAGGCCCCCCCGGGTCTCAGACCACTGGAATGCCCCGGGCCAGTGGCCACCAGAGCTGCAGGGAGTAGAAGGGCCCAGAGAGCAGGGAAGAGCCCCGCCCCCCGGACACAGCGCTACAAGAAAGGGTTGGTGGTGGGAGGTTTGGAGGCAAATGGGCTTGATGAGGATCCAGTCTGGAAAGAAACAACAACAACAAACTGTTAGGTTAAAGAAGAAAAGCTGGAGGCCGCAGGAGAAATGCAGTTCAGGATTCCTTTCTCCCTTAACATTACTGTGCTGGGGAAAGTGGGAACTCGAAGGAGCTAAGAGCCAAGTGGAGGGGGTGGGTGTTGGGGAGATGACAGGGCAGAGAAGAACTGAGGCCCACCTCAGAGAAGAACTGACCCCACTCGGCCCTGGCTGGGACAAGGCAGAACTCTATGAGGAAGGGGTCTAAGTTCCACCCCACATTACCCTCTTCTAGGATTCTGTCCCCAAGCCCGAGTGAGAGGCCATGCCCCACACCTTGGTGGCCTGGGGCACTCACCATGAAGGGATTGGTGGAGATGCCCGCTGGCTGGCTGAGTGGCCTCTGTTCCAGCTTGGCTGGTCCCAAGTCACTGAAGGAAGATCCTGGGAAGCAAGAGCAGACACTCAGCAGACATGAGCCCTGCCCCTCATGCTGGTGCTGACCTGCTCTGTCCCCCTCCCTGCAGGGCAGGCACAGCTACCTCCCAGGCTCACAGGGAGAGGGGCCTTCCTAAAGACGGGAATAAAGGTCTAGAGCAGGCCTGGTGCTTCCCTGATTCCTCCCCTACAGTCCCAAATGGAATTAGCTTGCACAGCTGGCTCCCTACTATTCCTGCAGGTGTGTGTAACACACGTGTAAACGTGTGCTCACACACAGAGTCACTGGGGGTGGGGAACGGGGGGTGAGGAAGGAGAGTGAGGTCTGCATCCTTTACCATTCTGCTGCTGAGTCATCGAGGTCTGCAGGGAGAACATGGGTGGCGGGAAGGTGCTGGCAAAGGGCCCGGGGGGTGGCACTGCCTGGGAGAAGCCAGGTCCAGCGCTGCTCATCCCAAAGCCAGGTCCTGTGGAGTGAGGGACAGGAGGCTCAGGCGGAGTTCTGGAACACAGCTGGAGAAAAGTTCTTCCAAAGCCTTCCAGAATGGGAAGATAGAATGGAGCTTTTTCCTAACCGAGGTACCCAGGTGAAGTACCCTGAGCCAGAGAGCTCTTCAGCTTCCATGCAACACACCAAACCTGCCTGCTTCCCGCCCACACGAACACTACACAGACCTGGGGGCAGCTTTGGGCTACCCATTAAACTGCATAAATAAAAAGCTAACGGTCAGCCCGCTCTGTGCCTCAGTTACCTCATTTCTGAAAGGGAGCAGTGCCTATCCCCTGGGGCCACGGTGAAATGAAATAACAGGTAAAGCGCTCAGCCTGGGCCTGCCACGGGCCACCCCGGAAGCTGTCATTCTCTCTTCCTGCCTCAAGGTTTTTGAGAACAAAAAGGATGGCAGTGCGTGAAGACAGAGAGCAGAGGTTCAGGAGAGGCAGGGTGAGAGGAGACCATTCCACTCTGGCTGATGAGGGCAGGGAACAGGGTCATGTTTCAGATGGCTCACCTTCGGGTTAGAGAAAGGAATCACTGCCACCATCAGTCAACACGAAAACAACCTTAGAACTGAGGCAGGTAAGCAGCAGTCTACTTCTCTAAGTCTGAAATGTCTGACTCGGTAACTTGGGTGCTTCTACTCTTTGCCCACCAGAATAGGCCTGGCCTGGGCTGGGGAAGAAGGGTGGCCAGGGGGGCTAGTTTGGGAAGAACACAACTGCCGGCTGAGGCTGCCTGCTGCTCCTCCTGTCACTGTGCGGAGAGGGGAGAGGGGAGAGAGGCACAGAGAAGTTGGAGCTGTGAGGGACAGGGACAGGGACGGTCTGGAAGGCTCACCTGTGGCCAAACCATTGGGCTGGAATGGGTTTGTGGAAGGCAGCGGAGGGTGCGCAGCAGGTGCTGTGAAAGGGTTGGTGAAGGCTGCTCCGGGTGGAACGGGGTAGAGATGAGGAAAAAAAGATGGTTATTTCCCCCATTTGCTTAATATTGTGATAACTGAGCATTCCTCTACCTCTTCTCTCCATTCCACCCACCCCTGCCCACAGTTCTCAATCCCTCTAGGACTTGGCTTCCCTCCCCAGGCTTCACCGGCAGGACTCACCTCCAAAGGCAAGCCCGGCGCCGCCACCTCCGCCAGTTGGGGCCGACTGGAGTGTGGGGACCTGGCTGGTCATCCCAAAGATGCTGCAATGTGGGGAGAGAGGTCGGCATGCACAGCTCCCAGGACCCAGGAGATAAGCTGGGCAGGGGACTCGGCGATGGCAAGCCCCGTACTGCCAGGCAGGAGCTGAGTGGGCCGGGAAGAGCAAGGCCAGGGTTTCTCGGCCCGCTCTCCCGCCCTAAGGCAAACCCATGCCTGTGCCTACCTGCTAGGGAGGCCTCCAGCTGATGCCCCAGGTCCCAGGAGGCCGCTCATATCTGGGAGGCTGTTGGGCTGACTGGCAGGTGCAAGAGGGGAGGCACCAAATGGAGTCACCTGGCTGCTCCCTGGGAAGGCATAGGAAGTAAAACAGGGAGTGTTAGGCTGGAGACAGGACGGAAAGGGCAGGAGAAGAGAAGATGGGTTCAGCGGAGGAGTGGAGTGATCACACGGGAGGCACCGCCTGGGTTCTCTGAGCCAGCCCAGGCTTCCCACGATCACCCAGTTCAGGAGGGCGTGTCACCCACTGAGAATTCCAAGCCATGTGATCCTCGGCTGTCAATCTTCCTAGTGCTCCAAGCGCCACCGCGGAAGGAAAAGCAGCTTTCTCCCAGAGCAGGAGGGATGGTGACCTGACTTACACTTTCCATTTTCCCCTCAAGAGACTGTAATTTACTCAAAGCAGCATTTCCGCTGACGGATAAACCATATGAAGGGTGGATAGAGAGGCTGGGGGAAGAGCTGCTGAAGGGCGAAAGGTCCAAGGACACTTGGGAGAATCTCATGAGATAGCTTTGGAGGTGATGAGCATAAATCCCCAGCCATCAGTACTCCCACTGGGGCCACCTCTTTTTCTGGGAAGCCACCCTGGTGCTAGGAGCTTAGATTAGGGCTTAGGGACACTGCTCACTGGGCAGAGCCGACTGGTGGTTCTCCTGCCCTCCCCTGGGGTTCACATCTAAAAAGAGGAAGCAGAGGACAAACCCCACGTGGGAGTTTTACAAAACAGCCTGCAGAGCAGGAGTCCTGGAAATCCCGAGGACTCTGGTCTCACAGGAAGAGGCCTAAGGCGCCGTCATTTTCCAAAGCCTCTTTATCTATGTGTCCACATATCATCTGCCAACCACTCTGAGCTGCTGTGAGGGTATCACAAAGCTACAAATGAAATAAGTTTTACTTTTAGGAGTGCTAAAGACTCATTACTGAAGGGAAAACACACTGAGCATAGTGTCTGCAACACGATGGCGCTCAAGAATGAATAGCTCTGGCAGAGCAGCTCAGTTGGTCAGAGCACAGTCCCTGAACACCAAGGGTTCGATCCCCTAAGGCAAACCCACGTGAGGGCACATACAGGAATCAATGAGTGAATGGCAGATGGGTGAAGCAATAACTAGCTGTCTCTCTCTCTCAAGAAGAAGAAGAAGAAAAAAGACTATTTGAATAGGTAAAGTGAGAAGAACTGGATTCTACTTGTGGCTCTATCACCTGCTACCACAGTACTTATAGCAGACCATTTCATTCTCCATTTTTCTTCTCACCCTCTCACAGGGTAGCTGTAAAGACCCTCTAAGTGTTTTGAGATCTAAAATATAACACAAATGTGAGGTATTATCATAGCATGATTTAAGAAATGATCTGTAGAGTCAGAGAAGCAAAGACAGAGTCTAAAAGGAAACACGATGGCTGGCTCAGAACATGAATACAAGTGAAGAAGACCCTCCCTAGACCCTCAGCTCCAGCCTTTCTACGTGCTCTGCCTCTGCCTTGAACAAGAGGACCTAACCGTGACCTTGGCCTGCTAACTCCTTCTCACCCTTTGGGCTTAACAAAACCATGCCTTTAGACTAGCCTTTCCTGATGCACTAATGTGAATTCGATCCTGGTTTTCCTCTCAGAGCACCTTGTTCTTTTCCTTCGGAGCACTTGACATATTTGTAGTAATAAATAAAAGTACTGCTAGATCAATTCCACTGCCAGAATTTTCTTACAGATGTAACTTACACGCGCAAACATGATGTACAGGGTGAACTGCAGCACTGTTTAACTGCAAAAGACTGAACCGTCCTAAATATTCATAAACAGGGGACTGATTAAACAAATTATAATATATACATATGTTGGATTGTTAAAAAAGTGAGGAAGCTGTTAATGTATTGATAAAAAATAAAGATCTAATAGTACCATAAAGTTTTAAAAAATCAAGGTGCACAACAGTGTGTGTATATATATATATATATATATATATATATATATATATATTATGCCATAAAATCTGTAAAAGAAGGAAAAAAAAGAGAGACAGAAAGGCAGGACAGTAAAAATCAAGTAAATGAAGGCATCGGCTTCTCCTCCCAGAGGTATGGCTGTGGAGAGGAGCTGTGACAAGAGACTAGCTTGGGTAAGGCTGTGGAAACATTCTGTAGAATGGGAAACCTTAAGCATATTGTGGGGAAAAGGGAATATGCCAGGCAAAAGGAGATGAAGTAGAAGTGTTTTTATTCAGCTAAAGTTGATATGTCAAAGCCCTGCAGAAAGTGGGAAACGGTGAGAGGGATCCTTCACAATGGAAGATACTTTTCCTCTCAGAGACAAGAGGAAAAAGAAGGGAAAGGAAAAGATAAAGGACACAAGGAAGGAAACGGCAAAGCCAAACTGGTTCTCACATCTGTGTTGCTCCCTGGCTCCTTCAAACCTCATCCTGTTTTCTTGTCAATCAAGTTTTATTTTTTTCTGAATGCCCAAAACTGTAATTCAAATCTCCATGCTTTTTCTTTTCTAAAGGTTTAGCTGTATTCCTCCAAAACCTTGATTAAGGGTATCTTCACTGTACTAAGCACTGAGCATAACTGATGGTGACCAGGCTCTAACTTGGAGAAGCTGAGAACCAGCAGGTAAGGCAGGTGCCCAGAGCCTGCCTACTGCAAGGTTCCAAAGATGGGCTGCTTCTAGGGTGCCAGCGCTTAAAAAACAGTGCTCTCCTGGCCACTCTTCTCCAACCCCTGGACTTCCTACAGGAACAAGTGCTAGGCTAGCATGCCCCTGCACATTCTTGGTCTTCAATCCTCTCCACTCCACAGGCCATGAGGAAGGCTGGAAGACCAGCAGGGTGCTGTTGGAGCTCTGGTTTTCCAACCCCAGGTCCTTCCCTTGCCTGATTGACTCAGGAATTTCTGAGCGAACACAGCTCCCTTAGACCAGACTTTTCATTCCTGCTCTGGGCCCTCATGTCAAGAAGTCCCCTCAGTGAGGACCAGGTCCTCTGCCCTCCCAGGCTGGGAGAAGGGCTGTGGTTCCATCTGCAAGCAGTGCTGTGTGTCTCCTGGTGAACAGCAGAGGGCAGAACTGGCCCTGACTTTAAGTGAACACCTTAACGAGAGCACATGCTCAGAAAGGAGGCCACAGCTAGGAATATCTGTGCTTGAGTTTGCTTTTAATACACTTCCAGAGCCTCACTTCTGGAGCTGTATTTGTAAACATGTCTGATAGCAGCTTCAGGGGTAAAAACCTCTCCTCCCCATCCTCTCTCTCAGAAATATAAACATACAACCAGGCGTGTTAGAAGAAATACCCACCTCTCACCAACATCTCCCTACTTCATACCCAATAGTTTGTTTTTTTAAATTGATTGCAGAGAGGAAGAGAGAGTGAGAGAGTAACATCAATGATGAAAGAGAATCATCGTTTGGCTGCTTCCTACACACCCCCTACTGGGGATCAAGCCTGCAACCTGAGCATGTGCCTTGACTAGAATCAAACCCGGGACCCCTCAGCCCACAGGCCAACGCTCTATCCAATGAATCAAACCAGCTAGGGCCCAATAAATCTTTTTAAGATATATTTTTATTGATTTCAGAGAGGAATGGAGGTGGAGAAAGAGACTGATTTATCAATGATGAGAGAGAATCATTGATTGTCTGCTTCTTGCTTGCCCCTTACTGGGGAATCAAGCCCAGATCGGGACACGTGCCCCGATTGGGAATCGAACCTTGACCTCCTTCCTGGTTCATAGGTTGACGCTCAACCACTGAGACACACCAATAGTTCTTTTATATCACACTCACAGAAACAACCTCATGATCATGATATGGTACAAAGTGAATGGAATCTGCTACTTATCAGCTATTCAATTTTGGTCAAGTCACTGATCAAGTTGAGCCAGTTTCCTCTCCTGCAAAATGGTGACTCTTTCATTCCTCTGGAGATAATCCGAGGATGCTTCTAGCAATGGCAAGAGCCTCATAAATGCTGTTTGGCTCTGGATATGGTTGCAGACTCTGCATTTTGAGATGGTCAGACACTGAACTAAAGTTTCACCCCAGTTTCAGCCAGGAATGGCTCCAGGCTAATGCCTTCTTTTTCTCCTTTAAAATATTTAAAACAATCAATTGTGCTAGGAATGCATTTCTGCACAGACTAACTTATAATAACCTCGAATAGACTGTTTCCTTTAGAGCTCCAATTCCCAAGAACACTTTTTTCTTGCTAACCTGAATAATCCTGTAACAACTTACATTCTTACCAACAGCTCACAAAAGGACCCATTTGCCTGGCTGGTATGACTCAGTGGTTGTCAGCCTATGAACCAGAAGGTCATCGTTTGATTCCCGGTCAAGGTACATGCCTGGGTTGTGGGCTTGATCCCCAATAGGGAGTGTGCAAGAGATAGCCGATCAGTGATTCTCTCTCATCACTGATGTTTCTAATCCTCTCTCCCTCTCCTTCTGCTCTCTGAAATAATAATAATTAAAAAAGGGCCCATTTCCCCACAAAATATTGGCCATTATCAATCTTTAAAATTTTTGCTAACATAATGTCAAAAATGAATATTTTATCCTAATTTGCATCTGATTAGTTAGGTCAAAGACATTTTCTTTTTCTTTTCTTTTTAAAAAAAAATAAATTTTGCCGGGACCGGTTTGGCTCAATGGATAGAGCATCAGCTTGGGGACTGAAGGGACCCGGGTTCGATTCCAGTCAAGGGCATGTACCTTGGTTGCGGGCATATCCCCAGTAGGGGGTGTGCAAGAGGCAGCTGATCGATGACTCTCTCTCATTGATGTTTCTAACTCTCTATCCCTTTCTCTTCCTCTCTGTACAAAATCAATAAAATATATTAAAAAATAATAATAATAATAAAAAAAATAAATAAAAAAAATAAATTTTATTGATTTTTTACAGAGAGGAAGAGAGAGGGATAGAGAGTTAGAAACATCGATGAGAGAGAATCATCGATCAGCTGCCTCCTGCACACCTCCCACTGGGGATGTGCCCTCAACCAAGGTACATGCCCCTGACTGGAATCAAACCTGGGACCTCTCAGTCCGCAGGCCGACGCTCTATCCACTGAGCCAAACCGGTTTCGGCAGGTCAAAGACATTTTCTTATTTTTTCTGGGTATTATCTGCTTGAATCCTTTGTCCATTATCCGATTCTTTCTTATTTATAAGTGTTTTATAAAACACATTATGGCTATTAGCTTTTTGTCTATCTTCCAGGTTGTAAGTATCTCCTTCCTGTTTCATGCCTTTAAGTTTTATTTAGGACATCTTTTACCATATAGAATGTGACCTGTGTAATTTCTATTTATTAGTATTTATGGAGATTTTGTTTCCCCCTACAAATTTCCCAAATTGTAAAATAGTTCTACGTTTGCAAATGCTATATATTCTGCCTTTTGTTTACAAAATTCTATTTATATTCATTAGGTCAAACTTGTTAAAGTGTTACTCAAATGGCTGACTTCTTTCCTTAACTGTCTATCTACTTTATCTATTAATTTTGTGAGAGTCTATTATAGTCTCCCGCTCTGTTGGTTTATTAAATTTTATTTTATTATTATTTTTTTAATATATTTTATTGATTTTGTACAGAGAGGAAGGGAGAGAGAGAGTCAGAAACATCGATGAGAGAGAGTCATCGATCAGCTGCCTCTTGCACACCCCCTACTGGGGATATGCCCGCAACCAAGGTACATGCCCTTGACTGGAATCGAACCCAGGACCTTTCAGTCTCCAAGCCGACGCTCTATCTATTGAGCCAAACCAGCCTTGGCTGGTTTATTAAATTTTAATTGTATAATAGTTACTGCTTTATGAATTTCAAGGTTACCCTGTCAGTTAAACTTACTTTTTAAACTTTTATCAATATAAAAACGTCCCTTCTTGTCCCATTAAAAAATATGAAAATAAAATAAACAAAAGCAAGTAGCCAATTCAGTGTCACAGAGGGAAGGCTGTGGGCAGAGCAAGAGGCAGGAAGCCTGGGCCCAGGGTCAAGGTCTGCCATTCTGTGGATTGCACAAATAGGGAAACTATTCAACTGTCTCATCTGGAGAATGGCTAAATTTGAAGAGTTCCTTCCAGACCTAAAAACTCTAAGATCAGAGGACCTGAGGTAAGCTCCTACCTTGGGTGGCTATCGGACAGGCAGAATAACTTACCAAAGCTGTAACTTCCAGTTAGCATCCCACTGGCTGGCAATGAGGGTTTAGGAGGGAAAGGGCAGGGAGGTGGGAGAAAGAAAAGGAGTGTAAGTCACTGGCTTTCCTCAGACATCTGCTTTTCACAGAACTCCCGCTGCCCTCCCGCACCCAAGGATGTCCAAAAGAAGTCCAAACACTCCGTAGACTCGATGCCTGTGCACTAAGGAGAAGCTGAAAGCTTTAAGGCAATCTCTAGACTCTCTTCCAATTGTGTAACATAAACTACACAACACAGGTTTCAGGCTTCTGCTCTAAGAGGGATGGTGAGGACTGCTGGAGACTGCCTTGGACTCTGACCCAGCTCTTGCCCTTTGGGCGTTTTGCAACAGAGACAATGGAGCACTCTAGAGGAAAGGTCATGCCCTTTCTCAATTTTTCTGCTTCCCAGTCACGACCCGCATAGCTCCTGCTGAAATTTTAGACATTTCCCTTCCATTAAAAAAATAGAACAATAACCCTAGCTGGTTTGGCTCCGAGTGCTGGCCTTTGGACTGAAGGGTCCCGGGTTCAGTTCTGGTCAAGGGCACATGCCTGGGTTGCGGGGCTCGATCCCCAGTAGGGGGTGTGCAGGAGGCAGCTGATCTATGATTTTCATCATTGATGTTTTTTTCCCTCTCTCTCCCTCTCCCTTCCTCTCTGAATAAAAATAAATAAAAACAGAACAATAGAGCCCCCTCTTCGTCACAAAAATCATCTCCTCAGACTCCTCCCAGCCTTTCCTAGAGCGTCTCTTTGTATCCTTGGCACATGCTTTAGGCTGGTGCAGATGTGAATGAAAGGTGATGTAGGGATGTGAACAGCTGGATGCAGCTGGGAGAAAGGAAACCACCGGAGAGGCAGAGCTTACCTGTGGCTGCTGGCTGGGCCTGAAATGGGGTTTGGCGAGCCAGAGGAATGCTTCCAAACGCCGAAGAGCTGGGGCTACTGCCAAAGGCATCGAAGTTGGCAAAGCCCCCATGGGAAGGTGTCTGCCCTATAGGTTAAGGGGATAGATAAACTGTATTTTAATATACAGTAATATACACTAACTAGAATAATGGAATAATAACAATATAATAATAGACACTAATTCTAAAGGCCTTCAAAGGCCACCCAATGAGGCATCTGCCTTTCCACAGGGTCCTTTCCTCAGAGAGATGGCAGGGGCTTTTGGCAGAGAGCTAGACACATGTGGGAGGAAGGGGACCTCAGAAGCTCTAAGTTCACTCCCACCAGCTTTTTATCCTTACTCCATGAGGCATTAACATTTTTGGCAGGGGCCAGTTTGAGCAGAATCATGTGGGGGAGAAATTATTTTCTGGGGGAGAAAGGGGCTTGAAAAGCAAAAAAGGAAACTAGATACCACTTTATTCAACTCTATTATTGGCTAATGCTGATCTCTGAGAAGACATTAGGGTATACGGAACACATGATAATCCTCCTGCTCCCATTTTAATAGTGAAAGTAATAAAAGGTCTATTTCCAGTGTTCTAAAAGAACGTGCCAGGAGCCCCAGCTCCCAAACATATTCCCTGGTTCCCCTTTGACCCCAAACCTCCCAGCCTGAGGCTTCGGAACTGCCATCACCTTTGTTCATGTGAAGACAGCGAGGGCCAAGTAAAACCTGGTCCCTCGAGGAAGTGAATTCTTTGTGTTCAGGGGTACATACGTTGTATTAAGGTTCTTATCCCAAGTCCCACTTACCCCCAAAGGCTGGGAATGCAGCAAATGATGGTGCTGTCTGGGGAGCAGCAAAGGGGTCTCCACCAATGTCAGCCAGCAGGTCGGTACTGGCTTTCTTGACCGAGGAGTGGGGAGGCGGCTGGGCGCTCCGGGGCTGAGACATCCGAGACTGGCTAGCAGACTTGGAGGAGAAGACATTACATGTAGCACTTGGAATACCAGAAACACCAGCCTCTGCAGGGCTCCCCAGGCAACCCCAAGATAGGCAAGTGGAGGGAGAGGAGAGCAAGAAACTACTCTCAACCGAGAGGATTCCTGGGCAGAAGTCGCCTTAGCTTCTCTCAGACCTCATTCCTCTGTCTTCTCAGCACACCAGCTCCCAGACCACACACTTTAAAGCACACGAGTTACGGTACCTCTGAGATCTACAGGGATAGTGCCCAACAGTCCCCCTGGAGCTGTTACCTCCTCATCTTTCCCCGGTGCTTGAAGCAGAGTCCTGGCCCCTTCTGTGTTTCCTTGGAGGAATGGTCAGGTTTGGAGTTCATACTCTGACTTCCCTAAATACCACTTCCTGTTGGTTCTTTCTTCCAAAAAGAGTCCAAGGTGACAGATGCAAGACATAGGTAACAGCAGGGCTGAGAACCAACTCACAGCTCCTGAACTGTTGTCTGCTAAGTCCAGGAGATTCAGGAAACTGATAGTCCTGTCTCCCAAATCCCAAAATAATTGTGAAGGGCAGATCTGAGAGTTACCTGGCTAGAGGTGGAGGCATCAGCGGGAAGAGATGACACAGGATCCCCCAGAAGTGACCGCAGAGGCTTCCCTTCCGGGACGGAGCCCTGGAGAGGGGCAGAGGCGCTGCCTTTGGTGTAAGTGGGCCCCTTGACTTGATCTGGGGGGACATACCTTTGAGAAAGAATAGTTTGGTTGAAAGGAGAGGAGTAAAACCTTGGACCATGCTCACCTTAGGTGCTTGGAAAAACACAGGCTATAGCAGTCAAATCCTTTTTCATTTTTTCCGAATTTTCTTTTTTGAACTAAAAGGAATTTAGCAACAAAGCAAAGTTCTGCCTATCTTGAGATTCCCCTTTACTGTCAGATGTTCATTTTTTTTTCCTGCCGGACATTCAGTTTGCTCAGGCTTATGCCTATTATTTCCTCCTCTTTCCGACATGCCAAACCATCTAGATTTCAAGTATAACATCTGCAATAATGCTGACGAATACATGATCCTATTTGCAACTTCCTACTCAAGGTCCCTCCTTTTATTTCTGGGTATTTCTTCAGATTCTCAGTTTCATAGTAAGCTCAAAACCTCATCTTCTAAGAGCTCAAAACCTCTCCTGCCAGGTCCTGCTACTTTTTATAAAAATCCCTCTCACTATAGTGTATGTGGTCTCTATTCTGGAAGAATCTTCTTTCTCATGAGGACACCCCCAGGAGGGAATCCAAAGTGCTGCTTTATCCACCACACCAATCTCCTTGCATTCTCTTCTCTACCTTATAGTTACTCACAACATGCTCATGACAAAAAAATCAAACAATAAGAAGTGACACCTTGGGAAAGAAAAGGTAGGGGAGAACAGAGACGTGGTTTTCCTCTTCTAAAAAACAACGTACATACAAATCATGAATGAAATGATGGGCTAAAAGCAAAAAATTAGCCAGGACCGGTTTGGCTCAATGGATAGAGCGTCGGCTTGGGGACTGAAGGGTCCCGGGTTCGATTCCGGTCAAGGGCATGTACCTTGGTTGCGGGCGCATTCCCAGTAGGGGGTGTGCAAGAGGCAGCTGATCAATGACTCTCTCTCATCAATGTTTCTAACTCTCTATCACTCTCCCTTCCTCTCTGTACAAAATCAATAAAAAATATATTTTTTTAAAAAAAGCAAAAAATTATATAGGACATATATAAAATCAGGTAAACTATAAAAACTGATCCCACACTCCCAGAAGCATAGCTCCCCTTCTAATTAGCCTACCATCTCCCCAAAAGAGGGGAAATCAAAGCTGCAAGGTTAGTGACCAAGAACAAGTTATATTCCCATGTAGCTTTATTATTTTGAAGGCAGAATTTAGCCTTAACCAAATCTGAGTGAAACAGACTAAACCCAGGTCTACTTTTTGAGAGAAGCCCCAATTCAACTCTGGAATCTAGACTACCAGATGAAGTATGTATTGGACCCATGTCTTCATATCAATCTCTTTCTTCCTCCTTACCATCTCTTCTTCTCATATTTTTCCTGGAGAAACTCCTTTACTTTCTGAGGATCCCTGGAGTCTGGTATTAAAGATGTCCGAGCATCAAAAAGACCCAGCCAAATCTTCCTGCAAACCTAAAGGAATGGAGTTAGGTGACAGAGGAGTTGGGGCAGAAAGCATGAAAGGGGAATGATACTACTTCCAGGATATTCATCAATAAATATCTACAGAGCATGGACACAGTGTGAAGACATGATCCCCTCACAGAGCTGTCATCTAATGGGGAGGTCATGCTTTAAATAAAAAAATAAACTTATAATTATATAATCTGACACATATAAAATAGAGGCCCAGTGCATGAAACTCATGCACTGGTGTGTGTGTGTGTGTGTGTGTGTGTGTATGTGTGTGTGTGTGTGTGTGTGTGTTTGTAGTCTCTCAGTCTGGGACCCCTCACTCCTTACCGCCCACCTGCAGCGGAGGTGGGAGAGGCTCCTGCCACCAATGTTGCGCTCACCAGCTGTGAGCCTGGCTACTGTTCTGGCTGAGCTGCGATCCCTCTGTGGGAGCACACCATGGGTGGGGGTGGCGCAGCTCCTGTGGAGAGCATCTACCCCCGGTGGTCAGTGTGTGTCATAGCAACTACTCTGTTTCCCCAAAAATAAGACAGTGTCTTATATTAATTTTTGCTCCCAAAGATGAGCTTGGTCTTATTTTCAGGGGATGTCTTATTTTTCCATTTAACACATTTATTGTTAAATGAAAATAAAGGAAATTTATTACCTCTATACAGTACAGTAGTACGGTAGTTGTCAACACAAACCAGATAAACTGTGAATCCTACAGTATCAAGAATTTACTCATTTATTCAATGACAATCATGTCATCATCTTCTGGAACATCATCATAACAATCCAATTTCTGAATTTCCTGGTGAATTTCTTGTGACTCCATTTCTTTCAGAATCAGTGGACCAAATCTCTCATGTTTAGCCTAGGGGGCCTTATTTTTGGGGGGATGCCTTATATTTCACTCAGAAGGAAACCTGTAAGTAGGTCTTATTTTTGGAGGATGTCTTATTTTCAGGGAAACACGGTAGTTGTTCTGCAGTTCAGTCGATTTGCATATTATGCTTTTATCATATAGGATTAGAAGGCCACGAGAATTATTGGAATTAAATTTGGATGGGATGAGGTCAGGGGCAATTTTCAGAGCTGTGGCTTCTAGAACACCCTCCAGAGGCCCTTGTTTGCACCCTCCAAGTAAGCCAATCACTTGTAAGCTAGGCAACTGCTAACACCAAGGATGGCATCTTCCTACCGGCAGATTTAGCTGAGGAAGGGGTTTAACTCATTTTCAAGTAAATGACATGGACTTAAACCTGGGTTGCTAAGGCTCAAGTCAGCTCCAGGAGATCTTAATGAGGAGGCAGGCCCAGTCACTCTAAATGCTCATCAAGGTGAAACGCTAACCATTTTCCCCCTCAAGTGCCCGGGGACAACCCTCTGCAGAGATTTTGCTCCTTTCCCTGATTCCTCCAACAAGGGGCCTACAAACCACAATTTGTATAACTGAGATCTGTAAATATACATAAGGCAAGAAAAAAGAGAAACTTGACCAGAAAGGAAACTGAAGGGTTTTCTATAAACTTAAGGCAAAGCTCTCCAGCAGACAGGGCAACTATTAATACACAGCCTGTCATACCCCACCAGCGGCCGCTCACCTCGTTTCCACGGGACTGCAGGAATACGACTTCAGGCTCGGTGAAGGTTGTCATGGAGATGGATTTGACTCGATGCGGGGGGTTCAGGCCTCTCCTGTGGGAGAGAAATATTGTAGAAAGAAAGCAAAGTGTAAAGCAGTTAGCGTTGCAGGTCTGTTTATGGGAGGGGAGGAAGGCAGAAAGGATAAAACAACAAGTAAATTAACCTCAAGTAGCACTTCCTGCCTGAGCTACTTCCTAATTCAAAGAAAGAAAGGAAGCAAGAATATTTTGGAGTTTTCTAATAAGAGACAAGGACAAGGACGGCAGCGTGAAGAACATATTGTGATCCCAGTCATTTTGGAGAGGAAGTCAGAGACTGCCCCTCCAGAGCCCTCCTCTATCTTGGCTCAGGCCCCAACAGTTCAGTGTTCAGCTGAGGGGGTACTTCTGAGAACTCAGATGTGCAACCACTTCCCATTTCCTGTTTTATCTTTGTTTGAGACCTACAGCATGTCCTCAAGGTCTCAGAGCCCATACATTTCTCAAGAACAAGGAAAGACAAAAATAAAGGCCCAGGATAACTGATGATTAATACTAATAAAGATAAGGTTTGAAGGCAAAAAACTGAGTCCCTAGGCTAGCTGCCCCTCCTTGTGTCTACACAGTTTGGCCATGGCAGTAGGAATAGAGAGGGTCCCTCTCTTTCATGAAGAAATCTCTGGGCAAAGAAATATTCTGGACTTTCTCATTTCCAGATCTTTCAATGAAGCAGGAGGAAGTCAGGTACAACACAAGCAGGTTTCTTATGCCTTAAGCTTGACTCTGCTCCAGACCTACTGCCTTCATCAGATTAAAACAAAACTGGCTAAACCCAAACAAACTAGTCCCTGGGACCAGGAATGAAAGACCACAGGCACATTCAGGAAAGGCAGTCCAAATGATGAGGCCTCTTCAAACTTGTACTCCCCTAGAAAAAGTGAGCGAATCAAGATGTGAAAATAAAAATACTGTAACTCTAGAATAGGGTCCTGGTTGATGACCTCAGGAAAGCAAAGGGAGAAAGAAGAGAGAACAAAATTTACCAAATGAAAATCTTAGAAAAAGGTGGGGAAAACACATTCGTGCTTACAGGTGCACACACAGAATGAAGATGCTCCTGTCAAGCCTGGAAGGACGGCAGTGTCTGGGTTAGTGTAAGTGACAGTGTGGGGTACCAGGAGGAAGACGATGACACAGGACAGAGGGAACAGTAAAGGGCAGGCCCCTTTGGGACAGGACACTGGAGGCTACAATGAGGCTACCACTGAGGGCACTTTGAATAATTCTGCTGCTGGACTTTTCAGAAAATACTCCTTTAAAAAACAAGCAATATCAATGAGGAAAGATAATAGCAGGGAGAACCAAAAGCCAGGCTTTGTTCCTACGTGTCAAACAATAGCTCTTAAACTTGATCCGCCCTGAAGACTCTTCTGATCACGTTTCAGAGATATTCCGGTTTTCTCTCCTGAAGCCTCTCTTTACCAATGGTTTGGCTTGGTTTCGTTTTGAAGTCCAGACAGCCTACTTCTATATTCCTTCACTTGCCCTTTCTCACCTCAACAAGTAGGCCCTTCCCTCTCAGAAAACAGACCTTTGTGAGGTCTAGCCAGAGCAGACCTCTCTGACCTGATGATGCTGATCCTAGCCTTTAACTCCCACTAACAAATATTTACTTTGTCAAAACACAGGCTCCTTGGGGGATACAAAAAATCACATAACCCAGACCTCAATCACTGGACTGCTGGCTTAAAAGAAGAAACCAAGGAGCCTGGACAAAAGTACTTCTCAACGCAGCAGGGTGTGACTTAGGCACACAGCTGGATCAGGGAGAATCAGCACCAGGATGCAGCAGTGGAGGAAGGAAGAGAAATGGTGTCAGGGGGAAAGTAAAAATACAATCTGTTTACACTTGATTCTAAGCCTATCACACAAAGGTCACTGACATTTCCAGAGAGAAGAACCAGGAACTGTTAGCAAAGTATAAACAGGGAGGTATGCTTCCTTGTAGGGGGAGGGAAAAGGATTTGACCCATGTATCAATCTAGAGGGGATGCTTAGAACAAAACTTTCTTTAAAAATTTTTTTTTAAATTGATTTCAGACAGGAAGGAAGACAGAGAGAGATAGAAACATCACTGATGAGAGAGATTCATTGATTGGCTGCCTTTTGCACACCCTCATTGGGGATTGAGCCTGTAACTCGGGCATGTTGCGATGACCCATGCCCTGACTGAGTAATTGAACTGTGACCTCCTAGTTCATAGATTGACACTCAACCACTAAGCCACGCCAGGCCAACAGAACTTTTTATGGCTAAGCTTGAACTAGAGGTGTTTTTTTTTGGGGGGGGAGTGTGTGTGTGTGTTTGAGGGGGAGGAAGGATGAGACAGGATAAAGGGAAGGCAGAGAAACTAAGTAATTTAGGTTCGTTGGGCCAAATGAATCTGATGGAATAGGATGTTTCCAAAGCATAACAACCACTGCTTTGACCTTAATGTCTGTAGATTGGCTTATGTACTATAACCAGAGCCACAGACTAGGGGCAGAGAGAGTTCTCGATAAGGCAACACCACATTCTGCAGCCCAGAAGGACTAGTTCCATGGCCTATGAGTCAGAATCTGTTTCTGAATCAGAGGCCACTGCTGGCTGAGAGAAGCAGTTTAGAAACAAGAGCCCCTCCCTCCAGGAGATGGCATTAAGTTGTCCAGGAGTATTGCTTCCCCTTGGGTACACGCAGGGTCACCCAGTGGGTTAGGTGAGTCACTGGCCTGGAAGTAAACACACCCAGCCCTCCAGCTTGTATGTAGTCTTCCCAAATTAACTCTCAGGTTCTCCCCAAAAGAAGTGAGAACTAGAAGGAGGTACCCTTCTGTTATTTCTAACTAGGAGGGGCTGGGGGAAATATAGAGATAAATTTATTTGCCCAGAATAGTGCAAGTTTTTCCAGCTGAAAGCAAGTACATTATTAGGATGCAAGCCTTTAGCCCACTCATAACGTCTTTTTCCACCTCAGTTTCCTTTCCCCCAAAATGAACCTAAACAACATTTGAAGTACTCAATCTTTAAAGTACTCTGAATTACTTGGCAAGTGAAGCAACTTACAGAGATACTAAAGTCTGCCCAATTCTCTCTCACTTAGCCTTTCTCTCCCCTCCCTCTATGAAGCACCTAGTATTTCTACAGATACCACAACTTTTGTTTCTCTGTGGTCATCACCCTCAAACTGGCCCATATTTTGCTTCTAGCCTGCTGCATAAAAACCTCAAACCTGCTCAGCGGCTCCGATGAAAAGGTTCTGCCAGGTCAACAATGGAAAAAAACAGTTCCACCCCGCACCCAAGTCCTTTCATTTGTGCCAAATCTGAACTTGGGAATTCCTTACCTCTTAATATTTGTGTTCAAATTTGTACACCCCAGTTTGTATTTCTTGGCTTAAGCAGGGGTTAGCTAACTGGTTTAGTCCTTACCTTGAACCCAAACATCATCAAGAAGAGTCCCTAATAGGAAGTATCCCTATTACTCTGCTCCAGGGTCAAATTCACTAATTTTAGGAAACTTCTTCCTAATCTGAATTCGCCTGCTTCAAGCCATTTCCTGTTGTTGTTCCTCAGTGACAATGATGAACAGCTATCCTCTCCTGTAGTCACTAAAATCCTGATATTATCAGCTGCCCTCCTCTTCAGGCTCATTGCTAATCCTTTCACAATTTTTTCCTTCCTTCTCTTTTCTTTGGTAACTTATTATTTTCTTAGGGGCTTTTACAGTTGTCCAAGGGCCTCATGTGATCAAGTGCTTTAGTCTGTAATTTAGTGAAACTGTCCACCACAGCCCTGCAGAGGAGAATATGAAAGGTGAGGTGGGAGGCGATGGAGAAATGGGATTAAAATAAGGGCAAGGTACATGTCTCTCTCTCCAACCCAGACAGATGGAAAAGTACTGAATTATTAACACACACCTTTCCCTTCGCGGAGATAGAAAGTGCTTCGATTAGGAGCCACCACTAACAAAACAGGCAGGGAAACGCAGTGACAAAGAGGGTAGGAACTTGTCACAAACAAAGAGCTATCAAGCACATCTCTTGACACCCAGCCCAGCGCTCTGCCCACCTTAATACTGACATACGGTAATGCCGTCATCAGAGTAAAATTGTGCGGAAGCAGAAGAGACAGGTACCCACTGAGGCTTGAAGGACAATGGCTTAAACGATGGACCCAGTCATGTCAGGGAAGCAGCATGTTGCATACTTTGCTGGAAAAACTGAGTTGCCCATCCCTGATGTCAATGCATTTCAGGCCTCACCATGCTTTCTTCTTACAGAAAAGGGCTTTAGCAGAAACCGGTTTGGCTCAGTGGTAGAGCGTCGGTCTGCGGACTGAAAGGTCCCAGGTTCGATTCCGGTCAAGGTGTGTGTGTGCCCACCCTTACTCTGCAGAATGCAGTAAGTATGCCCCATCTCACACATTATCTTTCAAAATACCAAGCCAATTCATGTACCTTGGTTGCGGGCACATCCCTGGTAGGGGGTGTGCAAGAGGCAGCTGATCGATGGTTCTCTCTCATCGATGTTTCTAACTCTCTATCCCTCTCTCCTCCTCTCTGTAAAAAAATCAATAAAATATATTTAAAAAAGAAAAAGAAAAGAAAAGGGCTTTATTCATTGAGGCAAGCAAGCAAACCAGAACAAGGAAGAACATCTAAGGCTCCACTTTAGAAATCATTTTTAACAGCGATTTTTACCTCAACCTATTTCAAATAGCAGATTCATCCTTTGGTAGAAGAGTCAGAAAAATAAACAAACTAGCACATGTACATGTACAGGGTGAGGCAAAAGTAGATTTAGAATTGTGAGTGCAGAAAACACAGCTTATTCTTGTATTTTTATTAATTATTGTATTATTTTCCATACAATCCTGGGCAAATTAAAAGGACCTATACCAGGGTAAGGAAATTAGGTATAGGAAGAAAACCAGTGAATAAAAACTAGGTCAAATTTGGACCTACAGTTGTGGTAGCATGTATGTAAATTTAGAAACAGCAGGAACAGCCTCTCTCTCTCTCTCAGGCCCTCACACCAAAACTGTGGGGTTTTGCTACAGCTGAGAAAGTACTTCTCATTAAAAAAGAAATAGCGAAAATGAGCTCACATGTGCAGAGATGAAGGTTTAGTCATCACCCACCCACCAATATTAAAATCTGAATTTTTCTTCAGATCTTGGGAAATTCAACTTTGGCTGGAACATTCCAGCCAATCCAGCCAGCTTGTAATTCTGGTTATTCTTCTCACTGCCCCCAGAATACTCCATCCCTCTAAGAGGTAAACATATTTGTAACACACTCAACAGAAAACTCTTTCAAAATACCAAGCCAATTCTGCTGCCTCCTTTCTCTGGAGATGGTGCTAAGTATGATACTTTAATTTCACTCTCAATATCGTCTTCATTTTTTTTTAAAATATATTTTATTGATTTTGTACAGAGAGGAAAGGAGAGAGATAGAAAGTTAGAAACATCAATGAGAGAGAGTCATCGATCAGCTGCCTCTTGCACACTCCCTACTGGGGATATGCCCGCAACCAAGGTACATGCCCTTGACCGGAATCGAACCCGGGACCCTTCAGTCCCCAAGCCGACGCTCTATCCATTGAGCCAAACCGGTTTCGGCACATCTTCATTCTTTGTTGTTAATCCTCACTGGGAGATATTTTTTCCATTGATTTTTAGAAAGAGTGGAAGGAAAGAAAGAAAAGGGAGAGAGAGAAACATCCATATGAAAGGGACACATTGATTGCTTCCCCAACTGCCCTGGGACCAGGGTGGGGATCAAAGCTGCAGCCCAGGTATGTGCCCCTGACTGGAAATCAAATCCTAGACCCTTCCTTTTGTGGACCAGGACTCTAACCACTGAGTGACCCTGGCCAGGGTTCCTCTTCATTTTAATAAAGAATATTTCTTCTCTTTTTTATCATCCTACCTCAACTTGAGTTCCCACCGCTCTCTGGCCCATGCTGAGCTTTATTTTACTCCATCAAATTTATCACTACCTGCAAATATATCTTTAAGTATTTATTTACAGCCCAGGGCCTCTACTAGGATGTAAGCTACATGAATATGGGTACTTTGTCAATTTTATTACCGAATCTCCAACACCTAAAACACTGTCTGGGGCTTGATAGACACTCAATAAGTATTTGTTGACGGACTGAATAAATGAATGTGTCGGCTATTGGCCGACCACAGTTTTCACCACCACAAAAATCCTAATCTATGGGCAATCAACCGTGTGCATTTATGTTGTAAACTTGTGTATGTGTCACTGGATGGTGTGTGTGCCCTCCCTTACTCTGCAGAATGCAGTAAGTATGCCCCATCTCACACATTCTGCCTCTGGCCACCTGCCAGCTCCCAGCCCTTCCCACATCAGAGGGCACAGGTGGTAGTTTAAGATACCTTTACAAGGTTTATATGCCTTGCTCTATTCCATGTTAATTAGAACCTCAATTAGCAAATGAGAAGTATCACTGGAACCCAGGCAGATAGTCACAGTCAAGGAAACTAAGGCTTTCTTATAGAATTCCAACTGATATTTCTTTATAACTTCAACATGCCTTTAGTTCCGTTTCATTTAGCGGCCCAGCCCCTTCTTGATCCTTCACTGTACTGTGACTTCCTGCTAACATAGGGTGGGACTGGCTTCTCGTTTCCCAATCACCAAAATATGTTCCCTAAAGTCTACCACTTCAAGAATTACTCAGAATGATTCTCATAATGCTTTATCAAAATACTAAGCAAAAATATCCTTTCTAGAATTTTTAAAAACAAAAAAAAGGAGTTACTATATTCCTACCATTTGTTCCCACTGAAACCTTAATTCCTAAAAAGCTAAGCCCTAGAGATCCCAAAATGGGGCCCGGAGAAAACAGAAGCTATCCGACATGCTCCCAGGACCAAACAGGAATGACAACCAAAATACAGAAAAAACCATCCTGAAGAATCAGCTGGAGAGGAGCTGGTGAGAACCCTGATAACCAAGGACAGAAAGTGGAGACCACATAGAGACTGACCTCAAAAACAAACAAACAAACAAACAAACAAACAAAAAGCTAGGTCCTAGTCTGAGATACATACGCCTTAGACCAGGGCAGGGGAACACTTTTTCTGCCAAGGGCCATTTGGTTCTTTATAACATCATTCCAGGGCCATACAAAATTAGCAACTTAAAAATTAGCCTGCTATATTTGGTCAAACATTTAATTAACTAGCTGTTAATGCCTTAGCAGGATCAGACCAAATTATTTCGTGGGCCTTATATGGCCTGAGGGCTGGACATTCCCCACCCCTGCCTTAGACAGAGACTAAGGGGGGTACTTTTCTCTTAATCAACCCTTATGACATACTCACCTCTACTCAGTGTCTCTCCAGATCACAGTCATTTGACTTTCCATTATGGGATCAACAATAATGACCAGTGGAGAAAGTGGTCAAGTTTCGCAAATTGCGTACTGATATTTAAAGAGTTAACTTTTCCAGCAAAAGAAACCAGGTTTTTAATGTGTCCCATTTCCTTTGCCCCTCCTTCTGTCCTGATTGAAGGATATTAATTATAAAAGGGAAAATGTGTCTGTGGATACTTTAAACCAAGATCTATAAAATTATGATAACGATGTCAGCACTTCCAGGGTTTTATCTTTCATTCCATCACAGCTAACCGTGAGCATGAGTTAACACTGTTTCTTAGGACCTAATATCATCAATTTTAACCCTCTGCTTTTCTTTATTTTTTTCCAGACTATATAAGCAGATTTTCCTTTTCATAACAAGGTCTTCAGGAATCTACTCTCTTTCTACTTTATGCTATAAATATTCCTAAATTTTGTTCCTTTCCCTCCTCAGAGTACTTGTCCTAATCTCCAGTTTCTATCATTTTGCTTCACTTGCATTTCTACCACAGCTTTTGACACATTTCTATTTGGGTTCTAAATCATTATCCCAAGAGCCACAGTGGCTTTTACTTAGACCAAAGTCAAATCCATTCTCACAACACCCAAGTGAGACTGAACAGGACATAGCAGTTTGGCAAAGGAGATAAAAACTGAATATAGAAGCTATCCTAAACTGTATCTTAGAAGACCTGGATCCTCATTTCTGATCTGCCATGATCATAACTAATATCAAACAACAAATGCTGAAAACAGCAAGCCCCATAAGGTATTGGATAAATTACTAAACCTCTCTTTGCTTGTTTTCCCATCTGTCAAGCAAGAACAATACTGCTCTCTCCTTGGCTCCTAAAAATGTAAGAAGAAACAAGAAAAGCATTCCTTGTTAAAACTAGCTCGTTTGGTTCAGTGGCTAGAGCGTCAGCCTCTGGATTGAAGGGTCCCAGGTTCAATTCCAGTCAAGGGCACAAGCTGGGTTGTGGGCTTGATCCCCTGTGCGGGGCATACAGGAGGCAGCCGATCAATGACTCTCTCTCATCATTGATGTTTCTATCTCTCTCTCCCTTTCCCTTCCTCTCTGAAATCAATATATTAAAAAATGAAACCAATGACCAAACTAACCTATTAAAACAATACTAAAAAACAGTAATAATAAACCCCTTGGTAAAAAATATAAATAGATACAGGCTTGGTATCAAATGTTAATCATTAACATTATTATCTAACCAAATAATTCCCTAAGGGGGGAAAAGAAACTTACTATATAACCAGAAATCTGGGCTAGAACTGTGGTTCTCAATTAGCTCAGGCATGGCCAAATACAGTGCCAGTGCCAAGTATATCGAATCAGATTATACAACCATTCTCCTCTCTCCCTCAATCTAGAAAGAGTTGCAAGATGCTACTACTAGGGTCAAACCATGGCAACAAGGAACTTAAAGATGTAAATCATTACACTTAAGGATGGCTTACCCAGATCTACAAACCTTTGGAAAAGTTGGAAAAGTTAAGCTCTCTAACAGGGCGCTCATCACTTAGATCTCTAAGATACCTACTAGTACGAGCACTTCTGGGTAGCATTTCAAAGACCTGCAACATGAGGATCTGCCCCTGAACACTTGAATTGGATCCTTACCTGCCACTGTCTCTGTGCTCTCAACCTGGGATAATTTGCCTGTTTTTCCTTGGTTTCTCCACCTCACACTCCAGGATGGCCAAAGCCAGAAGGAAGAAAGGTACTCACTCCATCTTGAGCCCAGTTTGCCCTACCTCTTTCCTTTCAGTCCTCCATCTACAATGAAGTTCCCTTTCAAGGTTTATGCCATTCTCTAGCCTTTGAGACCTCCAACCACCTCCCCTCAGTTCTCTTCAACCATCCCCACTTTCGGTTCTCCTGGCCTCGCGCAGGGAGTTTCTCCCTTCCTCTCCCGTGTCCTTCCTTTCCCCTGCAACGCGACTCCCACTGGGTGTCTTGCCTCCGCTGCCCCTTTCCTTTCCCCAAGACACCTCTGCACCAGAGGACTTCTCCCCACGTCCGGCGGGCCCCTGCCTCCCCGCCAGCCCCCACCGCGGCTCTGCCCCTTCGCCGCCCGCCTTCGCGCCGACCCTCCGCCACTCCGTCCCGGTCCCCCCGGCCCCCCGCGCCAGCGCACTCACAGGAGGCCGGAGCAGGTGGTGCAGACGAAGCTGCCCACGGTGATGTCCACGTAGGTGACCCCGCGCTGGGCGCACTCGAAGCAGTGGCGGTTCCCGGCCTGGCTGCAGGCGCCCAGCTCCCGCACCCGGCGGCACCACACCTCCGACGCCGCCTCCGCCTCCGTCTTCCCCCCGCCGACCCCGCCACCCGGCCCCGGGCCCTTCTTCGCCGCCATCACCATGACGGCCCGCTCCCGCGGTCTTCCTCCCAGCAAATCGGCAAGCGCCCCTTCTTCCCTTTCAACCACTGCCGCCTTCCCGCCTCCTCAGTCGCCTCCGCACGCCTGACGCCCGGGACAGGAGCTGGCGAGCCCGCGGCGTCCGCGCGAGACTCTTCAGCCCCGAGCCTCGCCTATCCTGCGCGCTGATTGGCTAGTCCCCTCCCACCTCCTCACTCTGATTGGCCCGACGTTAGCCGGCCTCTAGTTGCAGTAGCGGCCGATGCCACACCCTACTGCCTGGAGACCTCAGGCCTCTGCCATTGGCCCGCGGGGATCCTGGCCGCGAAGACCGTGCGTGCCCCCTTCTTGTTCCCTCCCCATCGCGCCACAGCCTGCAAGGCGCCCGCCTCCCGGACTAAAAGGGTGAATTCTCCGAACTTGGGCTCCAACGCCTATTCTGATTGGCTGTCAAGGTTGCAAAGGTAGCAGGCCGTGGGGTGTGTGTGTGTGTGTGTGTGTGTGTGTGTGTGTGTGTGTGTGTGTGTGTGTGTGTGTGTGTGTGTGTGTGTGTGTGTGTGTGGTGTGGTGTAGATAGTCCCGCGCATGCGCAGTTCTGATTCTCCCCGACTGATGACATTAATTCCCGCCAAATTTCAAAGTCCTAGTCTTAGCTAGACTGTACAGAGAATATGCAAAGCAGAAGAGAAGTGGCCATAAGGAGAGCAAGGGGAAAAGGAAAGATGGAGCTCTCAGAGGAAGGGAGGGAAGAGAGAGAGTGCTTTACACATGCTTAATCATTTAATCCTACCCTATTACATAGGAAATTTCATTTTAAAGTATTAGGTTATACAATTTACAGTAGGTCACACACTGGTACGTGGCCCAGCCAGAATTCAGATATGAGTCGTCTTACTACATAGATATAGATATAGATATAGATATAGATTAGATATAGATATAGATATAGATATTTTCTTTCATTTCAGAGAGAGGAAGGAAGGAGAGATAGACACATCAATGAATAGAGAGAAAGGATATTTGTGTGTTGCATGCCCCCTTCTAGGGGTCAAGACTGCAACCTGTGCATGTGCCCTGAACAGAAATCAACTGGTGACCTATTGGTTTGTGGGTCGATGCCCAACCAAGGAGCCACTCTGGCGGGGCATATCTGAGTCACTTTACTTTAGGACCCTGCTTTTTATCACCACACAATCCATGGAATAGTACAATATTTGACCATTCATTTCACAAACACTTATTGACTACCTACTAGGTTTCAGGTACTGTTCCAGACAACCAATCAAATTCCTATCTTCAAGGAGCTTACATGCTAGTAGGGGAAGGCACACAATGAATAGTTACAGAATCATCAGTTAGTGGTATGTTCTATGCAGAAAATTAAAATAAGCTATTGTAAACGAGAGTGACTTGCCCAGCCCGTGTTACTCAGTGGTTGAATGTGGACCCATGAACCAGGAGGTCATGGAATCCCCATCAGGGAATATGACCAGATTGTGGGCACTCATCAGTGATTCTCTCTCATTGTTGATGTTTTTCTCTCTCTGAAATCAATAAAAACTTTTTTTTTAAAGTGATTTGTTGGATATTTTAGACTGTTCAGTAAAACTATCTCTAATGCAGTGATATTTAAGATGAAACCCGATTAACAAAAAGGAGTCAGCCATGAGGAGACCTAAGGAGGAGCAAGCCAAGCAGAAGTAAGTATAAAGCCCTAAAGCACGAAGAAGTTATGTGTGTTGAAGCAGCAAAAAAGAAAGCCAGAGTGGGTGGAGCATGGTGAAATGAGTGAAAAGTGGGAGGGATTATACTGGAGTGGAACCAGATTATGCAGAACCTTCCAGACTTTGGTTAGGAGTTTGGACTTTCTTCTAAGTGTGATGGGAAGCTGGCTGAATTCATTAGAATTAGGTCCCACTGTGACATAAAACCCAAAATAATTGGGGCTTAACCCAGGTGAAGTTTATTTCTCTCTCATGAGATAGTCTATGTAGGCATTCCAGGGCTAGTGGGCTGCTCCACTGTGTTTAGACCTAGGCTCCTTCTACCTTGTTGCTCCATAATGCATCACCTACACTCCCAAGTTTACCTCGTGATCGATCCTAGCTTCAGCCATCATGTCTGTTACAGCAGCAGGGAGATCCTGTTCTATTTAAGGACATGCCATGAAACTGTACACATTGGTCAGAACTCAGTCACATGAACACACCTAAGTGCAAAGAGGGACTCTGGAAAATGTATTCTTTAAAAAAAAATATTAAAAAAAAAAAAAAATATATATATATATATATATATATATATATATATATATATATATATTAATTTCAGAGAGGAAGGAAGAGGGAGAGTTAGAAACATTAATGAGAGAGAATCATTGATAAGCTGCCTCCTGCACACCTCCTACTAAGGATCCAGCCTGCAACCCAGGCTTGTACCCTAACCAGGAATTGAACCTCCTAGTTCATAGGTCAATGCTCAACCACTCAGCTATGCTGGCTGAGCTGAACAATGTGTTCTTTATTTTGGGCCTCCATGTGCTGACCTAAACTTCAGAAGTTCTGTTACTGATGTTGAAAGGGAGAAAGGATATTAGGATAAAACCACAGCCTCGGCCACAGAAGCCATTGGAAAGATTGTAGCCAGGGCAAGATGTGATCTGACTTTCAGTTTTCAAAAAAATAATTCTAGCCTTAGCTGGTTTGGCTCAGTGGATAGAGCATCAGCCTGTGGACTGAAGGGTCCTGGATTCGATTCCAGTCAAGGGCACATGACCTGGTTTGTGGACTTGATCCCTAGAAGGGGGGCGTGCAGGAGGCAGCCAATCAATGATTCTCTCTCATCATTGATGTTTCTGCTGCTCTCTTTCTCTCACTTCCTCCCTGAAATAAATAAAAATATATATTTAAAATAATAACCATAACAATAATAATAATAATAATAATAATAATAATAATTCACAATGGGGGAAATGGTTATAGGTAAGTAAGATCGGAAGTAGGGCAATTGGGAAATAAGTTCAGCAGTACAGTTAAAGGTAATGGTGGCATAGACCATGGTGATAGGAGTGGGTTGGAAAGAAAGGGGTGGATTCAGAGAATGTTTTGGATATAAAATCCATAGGCCTGGTTAATGGACTACATGTGGGAGGGGAGGAAAAGAGGAATCAATGACAACCTCTTTAGGGAAGTGCCATTCAATAGAATTCTTTTTGATGGTGGAAATGTTCCATTTATGACTGTCTAACATGGTAGCTACTAGCCACACAGCTACTGAGCACTTGAAATGAGGCTAGTAAGACTGAGAACCTGAAAATTATATTTTACTTAATGTTAATAATATCAATTTTAAATTTAAATAGCCACGTGTGGTTAATGGCAACCATAATGGACAGGGAGGCTCTACATTTTGTTTTGAGCAACTGGGCAGCTTATGGTGCCATTTATTGGAAAAGGGGTACTATAGCAGGAGCAGCTAAAATTTAATAGTTTTATTTTGGACATGTTGACTTGAGACCCTTGGAATGCCTCCAAAGAGTTGATCAAATAGGCAGGTAGATATATAGTCTGGATTTGCAGGAGTTTTAAGAGTCATTGGTATAAAGCAGTTATTTAAACCCTTGGGACTGGATGAGGTTGCTTAGGCATAGTATGCAGACAGAGAAGAGAGCCCAGAACTAACAGCTCTGGGTGCCCTAATGTGTACTTTGTTCCATTTTTCCGTTATCAAAACCACAAATGCACTTTAAATTCTCAAAAGGAAGCAACACCAAGTCACATCCAGATATGCCGATGTGACATCTCAAACCACTTTAAACATTTCTTCTAAATTTCAGAATTTACAGTTACCAAGTGCTGCCCATGCCTCCTAAGGTTTCTCATTAGTCAACTGTTATTTCTTATCATCCCAAAACCTGAACAAATTCGTAGGCTTAGCTGCTATCAAACCTGATGTATATAATAGTGGGGGAGGAAAATTAGAACACTAATATGGATTATGATAGCTTTCTATTAATTTGTACCACTGTTCTTTAGAAAGAGGAAGAAAATAAAGATAAAAATTATGAACAACAAATACATAACTATCAACAAGTGAATCTAAAAACCAAGGGAATTTTAAAAATCTGATGAACAATATTAACTGGTGAATGTAATAGAATCAGAGGTATGGAAGGGGAGTGAACCTACGATTCTCGGGGGGAAAGAGGAGTTGGGGGGTGCGGGAAGAGACTGAACATAAACTGTGCACCTATGGATGAGGACAATGGGGGGTGGAGAAAGGGCAGAGGGTGGGGTGGGAACCTGGTGAAGGGGAGCAATGGGGCGGGGGGGGAATGAGGAACATTTGTAATGATATGAACAATAAAGATTTATTTTAAAAAAATTTGTACCACTGGGTATAGTGGTACAAAGAGGCACACACATCTATCCACGCCCCAGGCCCTATTAAGGAGTAATAACCCTTCATAACCAGGGGGAGCACACTAGGGCAGGAACATCCCCTTCTTCATTGCCCTAGTGGCAAGAGGAATCCCAAATGGAGAGGTAGAACTCTTATTGGGTTACCTGCTGAAAACATCTCATCCTTAGGAGATGGAAAGCAAACCTTTTTAGAGAAAAGTAATAGTGAGAGCTGCCACCCTCCATCTCCACCCAACTCTTTGTTTTTGGACATCTATATCAGCGGAGGGAGAATTGACACTACGTTTCAGTCACTGTTTGAGATCACATATCACTTTCTGCAAGAAAGCATCCTTGCCTCCTGGATACTGCTAGATCTGTTTTCAGAACGTTTCATTGTTCTATAAGGCCAGCTGCTTCTAGAGGATGGGAAATATGATAATGGCCCCCGGCTTGCCAACTGTCTTATTTCTTTCACTGGGAAGTGAGTTTCTTGGTGGGAGACATTTTGTCTGGACCACATTTGTGTTATGCAAAGTCAATAATTCCAGGGATAGTGAAATAGTCAGAGGCATGACCTGCTGGGAAAGAAAACCTAAATACAGAATAAACATTTTTTCCCCCAGTGTATAAATCACCACACCCTCTGTGAGAGAAGGAACCTGATAGTGTTGAACCTGCCACTAAATTCCTGACCGGTTCCCGAAAAGCTGGGTGCTCTAGTACAGCCTCAGGACTGTACCAGTCTCCCAGTGAGTTCACTGGCTGTTTATAACACCCTTTCCCCAGCTGATTATCTTCATTTTCCAGGTAGAAGTCACGTTATCTTCAAATAATGACAGTTTTAACTTCTTTTGATTTTTCTATGTCTAATTACTTTCTCTTGTCTAATTAAGTTGTTAAATATC